ACTAAAAAAATTCTTTAAAAGCATTTAAAATATAAAAGTTGGTTTTATTTTAAATCTAATGGAGAAATTAATGTAATAGTTGTAAAATTACTTTTTTTTTCTATCATCGGCTTTTGGATAAGTAAAAATATTTCAACCATCAACTTTGAAGGTAAAACTGGTAGCAAATTAGATCTAGTTAGTACTACGTTGGGGTTTAAAAATAATCGGGGAAAACAATAAACAAAATTACGGAAAACCGTGAAAATATTTATGCAAAACCATTTTTCGATAAAATCAATTTTATTTCATAATGTATGCAAAATGTTTTCAAAAATTGGTTAGCATACCACCTCCTAGTATAAAATTAATTAATTAATTATGTATATAAATTATAAAATACCCTCAAAAAATAGAGGCTTATCAGTGTCTTTGCTGAAAATTGTTTTTCATTTGCAATAATTTATCATTGATTGCAGATTTAACACATCCATAATATACAGTGACCTACTCAATGACGTCGTACACTCGAAACCTAATATTATACACAGCAGAGCCACTTTATCGGGTTTTTTTAAATTTTAAACAAATAAAAACTTTAAAATAATTAAACTTATAATATTTAATCAATTTCTTAAATATAAATTGGTAAATTATTGCAAATATCCAAAAATAAACCAAAATACAATTGATTTATTCAGAATTAAAGTTACACAATATCTGAATTATATTCGTTAATATGTATAATATAATCTATATAGGTAAAATACACATATATAAACATTAAAAAGTACTGTACTTAGGTATATAGAATATCAAAACCTGAGGCTGAAGATTAAATTTATTAATTTTAATTTTAGATTTCCCTCTTTTATACTTTTTCAATCAAACTTTAAATAATTATAATTTAGTATTAAATATTGTAGTTTGGACATTTTAAAATCAAAAGTTTATATAGTGTTGTAATAAATGAGGGAGGAATGAGGATGATAAAAAAAATAAAACAAAAGTTAAAACAAAAAATATACACTTAAAAACAAAATTTTAAATAATAAATATCGTAATAATGGTTAATTCAAGTACTTCATACAAAACAAATTATATTTTTAAATTCCGAGTACGTAGAAATATATTGTAATATCCTGCTTTGTATATAAATATTTTAAAACTCAATCACGAAAAATAAGTAATAACTCAGCCTTAAGGCATGATGCAAAAAGCGAAAGTTTGGAATATGTTATTAGTTATTAGTTATTAATATTCTTAAATGAAAGCTAATTTTCAAAACATTTTATTATTGCTAACAGGCTACACAACTCAATAGTAATTAATTCGCATGTACTATAACACAATTCACGTAGGAATCAGCCTGAAATAGTTCTATATCAATTAGAGATATTTACGAAGCACATTCTTATATCATCATTCCGTATATTAAATAGAATAAATATATTAATATTATGTACAATTTAATTATTTAATATAAACACTATATTCTAGCAAAGATAGGTACTACAATTGATTAAAAATACTATTTATAATCAATAGCACTATTAACTATTTCAGTAGAGTAACTTTGGTCTTTTGATTGAAATGCACAATTTCTCCAGATTTTAAGAAAATTTCATATTTTCAACAATTTCAGCACAAGTAAACGCATTCAAATTAAATTTTTTAAATATATATAAATAAACAATTTTTTTAAAGCATTTTATTTATAACCTTTTTTTAATCCGATTACAAAATTGAAAAGGTTTTTTAACACTTCCTGATTTTGGAATTTAAGAGTACTCAAACAATAATTCATACCTAAGAAATAATATAAATCAAAATAAGTTATAAGAATTAACACAATACAAATTTGTTTATTTATATTTATATTTATATTTAGTTATTTAATCAAAATTAGTGTTTCTTTACGTCTTCTTGATGCATAAATAGAAATTTAACAAAAAAATTGTAAAAACAAACATTTTGTTGAAACAATTATAATTAATAAATGAAAAAAAAAAAAAAAAAGAAATTTAACAATATCGAGGATATTTCGAGTCTAAAATAAAAATAGATAACATTTCATTGAAAATTGATAATTTGTAAAAAAAACTTACCCTAACTTGGTTTTTTTTCTAATAAGCAAAAAAACTTTTCTCACATCAAATGTTTTTAAAAAATATAATCTAAATCGAAATATGTGGGAAAATTGGCATTGGAAGGTTTAAAAAAAAAGTAAATTATTATACTACACTTGAGCGAACTTGCAGGGTGAAAACAATTCTCAAAATGTATATTTTGGTATACTTATCATCATCTCCTAAAAACTCTTCTTCAATCTAAGGTCTTCCAGCTGAAATATTTAGCCAGAACACTATACCTACTCAAATTATATTAGCAACCAAAAAATATAAAATTGCGTTAACACGACAATTTATAAAGCAAAATACATAATTCATGTTTTAATAAGAATACAAAATAAAATAATTATTCAAATACCAATGGTCTGAGTAGATTTAAATTCTTAATTCGTAATTCTACAATCAACAATGACTGATAAAATGCTCCGTGGCTTTAATAAATATACGAAAAAATCCCAAAAATGCTACAAAATTTGAGGTCAAAGACGTCTCTAATCATTATAGACTTAGAAAATAATTATTAAAAAAAAAAACAGGAAACTTACTCTACAATAAGACTATAAGATTATAGATTTCAGGTGTATTCGTCATTGAGTATTGTTATGTATGTATTCAAATTGAGCACAATAATTATTACATACAAAAATCGGTTTAAAAGGTGACGAAAAATCTACTTCTATTTTCTATGGAAATTTTAAAACAATTTTATACTACCTACTAAAAGTAATTTTTGATTCAATTAGTTAAGTCAACATCGACATAGGTACCGTAAATAGGTCCATGGTATAAATAACTTAAAATTGGTCCCAATATTTTGAAACTTTCATTATGCATGTAAAATAGTAATAAAATAAGTTATAGCGAAAAGTTTCAAGTCCCTAAAATTAATATTTATTAAATTAAAACAAATACCTATAACTAAAACCATAAGAAGAAAATATTGTTATTTTTTGTTTAAATATGCAATTTTGACAAAATTTCAACTCAAAATTCCTTTAAAAATAATTTCACACGGTGGTTTTGGTTATTTTCCGCTGTAAAAACACCTTAAGAGAATCTTTCTCTTGCTTTCTCACAAGTTTTATTATATATTCCAATCTTAAATATAAAAATTACATTTTTTATGAACTTTTTACAATTTACTTTTAAAATAAAATGCACGAAGTATCGCTATTCTAACAAATTTTTAATTTCAAATGCTTATAAAAAAATTAAGCCTATGTATATATTTTAAATAATTTTAAACTACTGTAAGAACCACTTCCTTCATGACCAAGAAAATAAATTTAGACCCTCCCAATCCAGTCTACACTACCACCAACATGTACTTCTATAAATTAACGAATAAAAGTAATTCGTGATTGTACATATTACTAAATTTACTAATTATTAAGTAGAATACCTATAACAATACACTTAACTTGAGCATCGTAATGCGAATATATTTATAAATATATAGAACATTTTTTAATACACAATTAATCAATGTGTATATTAAAAAGCAATTTCGAAAAATAGTCCACTCAAAAATAAATTAAACATTATTTATAACTGGGTTCTACCGATTACTATGACAAAATATTTTTTTTTACTTAACTATAGATTTTTCGTTAAAAACGATTAAAGGAGCTGTCTAAGCTTAAAAAAAGTATTCAACCGAAGTTTGAGCTATTTTTACCATCGTTGTATGAACAAAATCGTAATTTATTAGGACAAGTTATGAATTTATAATATTGTAGACACCAATAATATATATTTACCTTTATTAAATAATATGTACAGTACAAATGCCGTTTTACTGGTTTTTACTTAATTTCCTCGTAAAAATATAATAAAATCGAAATACAAATTTACAATTTGCTTGTCTAAACAAATCTTTGGTCAAATTCTCATAAGTACCTACTTATTAAGTACATTTTATAATAGCAAGGGTGAAATTATAGGGTTTTATAACTCACCCACCATCATAACAAAAAATAGGTACATACTGATCTCAGACGTAGTATCTACCCTATGGGTATCATAAGAATTTTAAAAGGTATTGCGAAACTTCCCTCGAGATCTATAAAAACTTAATCTAAAATTAGATCCTCTTCATTTTTCAAAAAAATATCATTTCAATTTTTTTTGTGCGTTCGCTTTTGAAAAATACGTATTTTAATACCAAAGAATACAAAAGATAACGTGTAAAAATTATTCTTCCGCTTTACTTAAATAATTATTATCACAAGCCAAAATAATAAATAAAAACATAAATTTACGATTTAAAAATAAGTTATTATTTTCATTAGACATAAGTATTGCTATATTAATAAAAAAAATGTTATTCACAATAACATAAATATTTTGACTCACAGTGTATACCTAATAGCTAAGACTGTACACAATGTACGATTCTGTACATCGAATAACATTTACTTGCCTGCATAGTTTTCACATACAGTAAATTAACATGACAATAACATTTAAACGTTTGTACAATATAGCACAAAACATAATATAATTAAATAAAAAAAAAAAATAAGAATATTCAAATGACTAGTTCGATAGGCCAACTTCAAAGCAGATAATTAAAATATATATCAAACCTCGCACAATTGACCACAATATCACCTATGTCAAACCCGAAATACGTATAAATTATTCAAGACAAACACCTAAGATATTTTTGTTACTTACAGCGACCATGTAACAAAACAGTAGCATCATTTTGAATTTCAAATTAATTAACTCTGCACAATATTTAAATGTTTGACTATAGTCCAGTGGAAAGTTTTTATATGGCCTTTAATTTATGTTTCTATGCAGCAATTATAAGCCCAGGGAAATTGAGAAATCTTACAGAAATAAAAATTAAATAAAAAATATTTTTTTTATATTTATATTTACCATATGAAGTCCTTGCAATGGCTACAGAAAGTCGGTTGCTTAAAGAATCTCGGTATAAATTTATGATCTTTGACGTTATAGACGTTCTTCTTTTTCAAAGCTCCTTTGCGCCCACGCAATCGCAGCCCAAATTTGGTATTCATATCACCAGCATTGTCCTCCATACTTCCGTAATCGTCAGCCATGATTTACCACAAATATCCTTCCGGACAATTATTTAAAAACGACAATGGTCGTTAGAATATTATTAAAACGAAATAATTATACAAAATATAATGCTGTCAAACAATCAGTGCACTGCAGTACTGATAAGAAAGTGAAAAAGAGAACGAGGGACACACACAAGCCTCGACGCATAGTAATAACTGGCGACTGGCGAGCACCGACAAGAATTATACAAGCGACTGCCCGCGGCACAGAGCGTCAGAGCCTGCCGTGGAAAATATTTTGATGAGCGCGCTATCATCCAGAATTTGCCGAAGTCGCCAACCTAGTCACATCAGTGTGACACGTACAACTTTTCAATTTTGTAATAGTGTAAATTATTATTGTAAACAACGTAATCGCGGTCACGGTTATAGAACCGTGATATCGGTCATATGAGATAAGGCAGTGAAAAACTAAAATGTAAATAATATTCTATAATCGCTCAATGTTTAAAACTAAAATATTATGTTATATCCAGATTCCAAATTTCTTAATAGGAACATTAAGCTCCTAGTTCGTTATATTTTATATTCTGATATACTTTTTTTAGACTCGTAGTAAAAGCTTATTGATTTGTAAATCTGAATTTATTATTATTTTAATAATCTTAAAACACACTTAGCGAATATTAAAATTCATTTTAATAGTAAAACAATGTCTATGCCTGCATTTCCCTCGAATACTCCTCAAGTTCCTCAAGCCATGCAACAAGTACAACAACAACAACAGCAACAGCAGCAACAACAACAGCAACAGCAACAGCAACAACAACAGCAACAACAGCAAGAAAAATTGGACAATATATCTAAAGTGAAAACTCAAGTGATTCAACTCAAAGAATCATTAAGTTGTGTGCTTCGTGCAGCTTCATATACTCTTCAACAAAATCATTACATCGACACAGGATTATTAAAAACTGTAGAAATACCCGGTCCCCGGTTTGAGAAAACCATTGAAGAATTTTTTTCAATTTGTGATCAAATTGAATACAACCTTAAGACAGCCATCGAGTGTCAACAACAAGGTATATTCTTAATTTTTCTTAATTAAACTAAAAATTATCAATCAAATTATTTTTACCCTAAGTCTTAAGGAAGACTAGATTAGAATGTTTATTACAGGGACCTAGTTTTTTTTAAATTAGTCATTATTTAATATAATTTGCATAATTTACACATCAAATACTCAAACTACCTTTTGACTTTTGAAAAGAATTTTTAGTAAATGTGTTACTTTTTTAAGACTCTCTGGATCTACTATTAGCTATATTTGTTATTAATACTAACAAGCATATACATTTTCTCAAAATTAAATATATTTATTCTCAAAAATGTTAAAGCTCTCTTCCAAACTTTGTCATGTACTTGAAACTTAAAAGTTGACCTACACCTAAATTTAGTTACTTTTTATATTATTCCTACATTCAACCACATAATATTACATTTATACAAACCCGAGAAATATCCTTCAAATTGGGTTTAAGAATTTTTGACGTAATGCAATAACTAATAACGAATAAAAATCAACGTGTTTTCGTCAAATCATTAATTTATTTTTACCAATTCAAATAATGAACTTCATTTATATGCACTTAGAAAATATTAATCTATAGAATCATTGATTTTATTATATAGGTATTATTATTATAGTACCATAGGTACTAAATCAATGAATATTTGACATAATGTAAATTATGTGTTTTTATTTGTGTATTTTACCAATTTAGCTCGCAATTTTGGTACACGAAATGTAGTTTCAACAAGATAGCATTAATTTTATCTGTATATTATATTTCCTCATTTATTTTAAAAATAAAAATTAACCATTTAAAAGTTTGAAAAAAATTATTATTGACCTAACTGTATAGCAAAACAAAATATTAAAGTATATAATATGTAAATAACACATATTTAAAAATAATTATTTCCTATAAAATTATTTTAAAAGGTTAGAACAAAAATGTATTTCCATTAATTTATTACTAATTATAATATTATTTGAAAACAGCATTTTTTTTAAGAGGCATTAAATAGCATATTTTCTCTACTTCACAATTTTGAAAATAAACAATTATTTACTATCTTATGCTCATCTTTTTTATAAAAAAAAAAAAAAACATTTAAAACAATATGTGTATAGATGTATATATATGTTGTTATTTATTTTATACTATAAAATAAATAATTGATAAATAAATAACAATTTTACAAAAAATGTTTATATCAATAATTATGTTAATTACAATATTGAGTGATTTGAAGTTCTCGCCACATTTCCTCTCCCCTATTTGACTAATAACAATTAATATTAAAGTAATTTAATTTATTAAGTTATATCTATAATACATAAGTTATTTAATACTTATCAGCTTAATTTAAAATTTATTTATTTATATGAAAATATAGTATTAGGTATAATTACTAATACAGTTATGATAACTTGAAATAATATTGCAATGTATATATTTTAATGTTTAGGTCTAAGCAGTCAACGCTATATACCACTGATGGTATATCCTACAAGAACGGAACCACTACCAGCTCAAGAGTTAAGTTCACTCACATATCCTCAGTATTTAAGCACAGTTCGATCACAGATTTCTTATTTAAAAGAAGTTCAAGAATTACTATTGTCTACAACTCAAAACAATTCTAATGAATAATAAAGAAAAAAATGTATATTTAAACAGCATAATGTTATAATGTTTATGTATAATATATTATATAAGAATTTTTAATAATAATAAAATAACTAATAAGTGTTCAAAAAAAAATAAATTCTTAATGTTCAAACAATTTCGTAATTTCCTGTGTATAATGATGTCTCAGATGTAAATTTTACAGGTGTGCTATCATCAACAAGTCTAATTTCCATTGGCTTAATTTTGTTGTAAGATGACTTCGACATAAAATCAACTTTAATTGGGAAGAAATCAGAGGCAATCGATTTGGGTGCTTCAAATTCAATAGATCCTGTAGGGTTAGACGAATCAACTACAGCCACTGACCATATTAAAACATTCTTTTTAGGTTCATAACTATAAACTCCACTGCACTCCTGAATAACTGGAGCATTACCAAATGGCAACGGTACTGTGACAGTAACATTATTCAACTCGAGGTCAGCATGTTCCAAGTTATATTCAATATTTACATCACAACCACCATAACCATTTTCACTAGGCCAGCAATTAATTGAAAGCGGTATAGCTGATTCTTCTTGGGACTGAAGAGTCCACTTTAATAACCCTACTTCAGAATCTAATGGAAATGGCTTTGTTGGATTTTTTAAACCAATTAATCGGTTAGTCTTAAAAAGTTCCTTATCAATATTAGGATGTGTCTGCAATGGAATATTTCCAGATTCAAAATTAAACTGTAAAACAATTTTTTGATACATTTCATTTGAAATTCTTAAAGAAATCAATCCATGTAATTCAAAATTGCGAACACCTCCATCACGACCAACAATGGCAATTAAACGTTCTTCTTTTTTAATATGAATGTCTTTTTGAACAGTTGAAGAAGTTGATGTAAATGATGAAATAGTTGATGTCTTGTTGTTACTAACAACTTTTTCACCTTCAGATTTCAATTGGTCAACAAACAAATCAACATCTTTAGATTTTGCTCCTAATTTTAAAGCTTTATTGCTTGATGTGTATTTTGGTGTTTCTGGCTTGGATACTTTTATTTCATAAATTGAGTCTGCAACTGGTGTCATTGACATGTAAGAGCTTGATGATTGTGGCATACGAACACCCTTTTTGACAGCATCAATTCTCTGACGTTGTAATTCTTTCGCCTTTTCACGCATTTTAACCTTAGCATCACGCTCTTGCGATTGACGTACTGCTTGGTACATTTTTTCTTCGTGAGAATCCATTTCAACAAAGGTTCTTACTTGCGCTAAATTAACACTCTCTCTATATCCAAGGGCTACAATTTCATCAAAAGCAAATATTAAATCAAAAGATTTTTTTGATACTTCACTCTCATCGACTAACCTGGAACAAAAACCATTAGTATAATTGTTAATAAAAGTTACAAAGCTTATAATTAATTTACTGTTTTAGATTACTTACTTGCAACAATCCAGGACTACTTTTGAAAACAATCTTAATGTTTCCAAATCTTCTAATATGTTACTGGTCTTTGTAGTAATCAATAACATGTAGAGTTTTTCCAATGGCTGGTATACATATCGTACAGAATCTGTCTCAACAAATGTATGTTGAATATGACGTTTTTCTGTCGACATCAGCTTAGGAAAAGCAGCCAGTAGACCCTCAATTCGCGCTTTAGTCATTTCAACAAACTGTCGAGAGACAATGGTTTTTCCTGTTTTTGTGCATACGGCTGAAGCCAACAGCACCATTTTGGCAGTGAATTTGTGCAAACTATATAACAATCACAGAAATATACATATTAGGTACACAAAAAAATGTATTTTTCGGTATATCGGCCAAATATTCCGTACCTTGTAAACGTACACTCAATCGGTAGCAAAGTTCTTGCGGTATAAATCGAAAAACCTTAACAAATTGCAATTGACTTTATGAACTAAAAAAATGTGTACACACTACAACAATTTTTCGATGGCAATCATCTATCATTATGCCCCGTGGTACGAATAACTGGGTATACTGATTCTACAAAGTCGCTAAAAAACTACAAATCATGGAATAAAAAACAATTACTCGACGTGTATTCGACCCATAATGTTGTCCGGTGATTCGACACACGTGAGATAAACGTTCATATATCTATAGTGATACGGACTCGAACAAGTAATGACGAGACTAGTATGACGTCAGGACCAAACCCAGTAGCTAACAAACATACCGCAAACCTACCTAGTATACTTTGTTAACATTTTTTCTCCAGAATTCATACCTTTTTTCTTATCACAATTTAAATTATCAATCTGACATGTGGCATGGTATTCTGGTTACGGTTGGTTGGTGACAACCGTAATTTCATAAATATTTTTAATAATATTAGTGATGTTAATAGGTAAACAATTTTCTATTTACCAAATAAATACAATTTCATAAGCGCAGTGGTGCCCAGTAAGGAGGTGACTTGGATGCATGCCATGGGAACAAAATTTTAGGCGTGGAAAAAATTAAATCACACACCACCCTCCCAACAACTGGAAAATAATTAAATTGTATTTCTATTGTTATTATATTTTTATATGAATAATTTACGACTGACAGTTAAGGAGTACCCAAGGACACAAAAACAAAAATTGACTTAAAATATAGTTATTGATGAACTTTACCGGGCAGCATTTTTTGCTATTATTTTTTTTGGTAATCGACCGTTTTTTCTTCTGGTATCGATTGTGCAAAATATGTGCGGTAATGAGTACCTAATTTAAAAGTTACCTACAGCTGTTTTAAATTTTCAGCAAATTCAGAATTATACGTGTCCGTGTGCCCGTGCCCGTGCGGCAGCCACTATGATTACGTTTATTTACAATGATTACGTTTATTTACAGAATAATACTTTAATAGTAGCCGTAGTTGCCCGTAGGTCTCTACGTAGTTGGTGGTATATCCGTATAGGTAAGTACAAATAATGGTTATTTAAAAATTTTGATTAATAATTTGACTTGTCATCTAGATATGACATCTGAATCGACTGAATCCATTAAAGATACTAGCAATAATAGTATATTACACTATCATTAAATATATACCTATACAGTCTACATAATAATATATACTATACAATGTGTTATATACATAACTAGTGTACTATTTATAGTCACAATTTTCATAAACTGCCAATGTGTATTGCTTTTGAATTTCGGAAAAGTACTTCGGAATACTTCTCCAATATTATAATACTCAACACGAATATCTATTAGGTACAGTCTTACAGTACCCATATATATACCGCCACTAACCATTAAATTTAATATCTGGGTATCAGGGATGGGCAAGATACACAAAAATCAGTATCGTTATACTAGATACTAGATACTTGGATTTGGAGTATCGAGATACTAGATACACGATACTTACATTTTAAATATTTAGATACTCGATACTCGATACATTTGAAAAAATTAGTCATAGTCTACGACGCATAGAATTTTTCAAATTGTATTTATTCACAATTAGGTAGGTTATGAATCTAGACAAATGCATTTAACTTTAAATTTCCAAATATTAGTTAAGTATAAATATATCATAATAAGTCAATTGTTAAATTACATGAATAAATAATAATAAAAATAAATTATAGATATCATATCGAAATATCGAATAGTATAAGACACTACAAAAAACGTACGGTAAAGACGTAAGTCCCATTCAACCGTGTATGTGTGGTGCGTCACAGTACACAGATATAGGTAACTAAATATTATGGCTAATCGGTTGAAAAATAATTTCGTACAAGTGTCAAGTTGTACTGCAATAAAATTATGTATTTATAAATTTAAATTCATCGCTCATATTATTTTACACATATTATAGTCATGGGCGTCTTTTGGGGGGGGGGGATTCAGACTATACATTGGCAGCCCTATTTTTAAGTTCCGCTTAATAAACAGGATATATAAATGGCCTGGTGGAGGAAACAATTGACCTGATTCAAATGTTTGCATCCATAATGAAAAGTTGAAATGACGCCCCTGATTATATAGTATTATACTAAAACATAGTCAAACAATCGCGGCTGGTAGATAGGCGAGTAAAAATAATCCTAAAAAATTAATTTTTTTAAGTATCGCATTAGTATCGAGTATTTTTTGACAAAATTATTTTGTGAAATACTCGATACATTGTCTAAAAATGTATCGCGACACAACTATACAAGATACTCGAAATTTCATATAACATTGTATCGAGATACAAGATACAATTGTATCGAAGATACTGCCCAACCCTGCTAGGTATATGTCTTAATCTAAATTATATATTGGTCATAAATATCTGGTTTCGATCAACCTAATGACTAACTTGCAAGTTAGACAAATATTTTTTTTATTTTAACTCAAGTAAAATTATTTACCTATCACTAAATATATCCACTAAAACAACAATAAGTACCTACGCCCGTAAAATCAAAAATATGCAAATATATGCACAAAATTAGTTATTCTATCAACAACATTAGATATCATATTGTTTATACTTGTAAGTTGTTAGTATACTATAACATCAACAAGAAAAATAAACAAATAAATGTAAAATTCCTGGCTATAGTCAACAACCAGCTCTCTCACTAAAATATACTCTTCAGTCTTCATACCTAATGAAGTTTTTAAGTAATACACATTGTTATGGTTGTTGGTTTTTAGTCTTATCCTTAAATCATATACAATATTACAATTGTATGATAAATGATTTAAGTGATTATATGGACTAAATTGACTTCTATTTATTTATACATGTTGTCAATACTTGATAGTTGATTATACTGTATGAAATCCTTACATGTTTACTGCAGGCAATCAATTCAACATAAATAATTATAATAGTAATAACATAGGTAACTAAATAATTCATTGCAAAATTATAGATGAAAATCAGAACAGTATTAATTTTAGGGATGTATATCCTTTTCAGTACTCTTACTCCCCTATAAGCTATAGAGAGGAAACTGGAAAACCAAAAAGGTATAAACAATTAAAAATTTTTTTTCTCTGGTGAGTGGTCTAGTTACTTCTAATTCCTATCTAGTCAGGTTAGGTATACACAATAAATGATAATAATTACTAGTATAATTATATACTTTAGATCTAGTAATTCTTACTCACACAATTTTTACACATTAGAAAATGTTAATAAATTAATATTAGTTACCTACTAGGTGTCTGGGTATATAATTTTCAAATCATCACCATACCTCCTAAATCTATAACTATAAATTATAATTTACCTTAATAGGTACATAAAGTTAAAGAACTCAAAAACTACTATTTTTAATTTCAATTTAAATATGAACCCATCAGAGGCATGCATGTAGGTGGGGGCTGGTGGTGCTCAAACCCCCACCCTCGGAATTTTAAGTAATTTAGAAAGAAAGAACTGCTTAATATTTGTATACAGTTGAAGTTTAATACTATAAACATTTGCCAGGGTTATTTATATAATCCACTATCGATTTATCTAGTACGATAACTAAAACTATTTTTTAAATTATCTAATAGGTATCTAATAATATAACCAATTTATAACAACAAATGATTCAAAGTGTACCATAATTATTATAAAAATATTTTTTTTTTTTAATATTACCATTGAATAATAATATGTACATTGCATGAATATTGACGTATTGTATATACGCTAAAGTTATCATCTCTAATTCTATAAGTGAAATAAACACATTTAAAAACGTGTTAATAAAAATATTGAACCTTAAATTCCTAAACCCTTGTTGCTTATACATAAACATCAACATTTCAAATTTATAATTTCAAAAATAGTGCTTTGTATCACTATATATCGCTTTTTAAACTATGTAAAAATTAAGTTTTTGAAAATATTATGATCCTTATTCCTTAACCATAAATTATAATTTTAACAAATATCTACATTATTGAATTGGAAAATGGGAGTGAGCATGCATGCTAGGTTACCATGCTTAGTAAATCATCCTGTATAGTTTATCAGTTATCACAAAATAACCATACTTGACAATCTACAAATACATAATAATTGCATATAAAAATAATTAAATACCTATTAATATGTTCCTATACGTCAAAATAGATATTACTATCTATTATATTATATAACAATAAAAATAATCAAATTTGTGTTTTGTAATAAATAAAAATAATAATTTTAATGATTTAATTTTATAAATTGACAACTATTATCAAACATATTATGATAAATATACTTATTTATATACTCCAAAATTAGTATCATCTGTATGACACAATATTATATTTTATATATATGTTACAAATATTGCTTAGTACCTTATACATAGTCCGATTTATAAATTATTGCGGGGTTAGTACATGATGATAATTTTGAAATTATTTAATACCTATATCTTGAAACATTATTTTACCATCGTTTGTATACAATATAATGATTGGAATTTTTCAATTTGACCATGACCAGCAAATAAGGTCAAATAATAAATTGGTTGGAAATTAGTTTCACTTTCTTGAATTACCTACATCAATAAGTTAACTTATAGCGTCTGTGTCTCACTCTCTGCGTACGTTCTTATAGTAAGCTATTAATCATTCATTTAAAAACAGACAGTTTGATCATTTTTATTCTGTTAGTATAGTCGTCTGCAACATTACAAACACAACACAGATTCGGTGGTTTACAAAGTACGTTATTTAACCAATAATTAAATAATAATATTTATAAATATTTATTCTGCTCATAGACAATAAATTAAAGTCTGTATATGATCTTGATCCGGTTAGATAAATGATTGGATTATGGTTATGATTTTTTCATTTATATACCTACTATGTGTCTAATATGTGAATGGACAAGTGTCAATGTAATTTATTCATATAAATATACCTATAATAAATGAATAACCATTTTCTAGTACTGACATAGTTATGAATTATGTTAACATAACTGTTTTTAAAGTAGGTACTAATAAATAATGAAATTATGTACATTTTAAATCTTTATTTTGTATTAAATATAACATAATAAGTACAACATTTAAATTTTGAGTAAGTAAACACTTGTCACTTTGTATTCTTAACAATTATTATTGCTCAGTGCTGTCGCAGTATTGCATCAATTTTCATTTTATAGATTCTACGCAATTAAAAATGACATTTGATTTAATGACTTATTATAAAACATCACGATGAAAGTCAGTCAAAGGGTATAGAATAATATGCTTATAGTAAATGTATTATAAAAAATATTGCAATTTACAAGGAAAATAAATGGCAAACAAAATCGCGAGTGCTTATACCAAAAATTGCAGTAAGTACCTACAGCTTATACTGACGATCCGACATTTTCTCTTATAATTATCGTATTAATGAACAGCGAAACTAACAAACTATTGATTTTGACTTATTTATAAATATGGTAGCTTGGTCTATATATTATGTATTTTTTTATTGAATGTATAACAATGCAAATTTAAATTGTTCAGTTATAGACAGAAAGGTAGGTGGGTACTTGATGGGGAATTAACATAGGTAATATTATAAGCAAACGAAAATATATCATCCTGCAGACATTTAAACTGTAAGCCCAACACGTCATATTAGGGTATTTACCTAAAGCTGTAATATATAGATGATATATATATAAGTTTATAATAGCATGGTAAACATTTATTTTTATGACATTTATTGGCGGACATAATTAAAACATACATAATTCGTATGGTTTACCTAAGCTTTCCATTAAAATGCATGTTTACATGTATAGGTTTACTGTTCATGTATAATATTAATATATTCGTCATCTTGACGAACAATAATATATAGCTAATTTTACCGGATCAAATATGACGCCGGTAATAAAATGGGTGTTTATACTTGTTTTGGCGGCCGTCACAGCCGTAACAATCATAACAATTATGATCAATCAAACAATGGAAATGGAAAGGATGCCAGAAGACGAAAAGCTTACGGAAATAACATCAGCAGGTCATTTAATGGCCTACTACAATTCGGTGAGTGTTTGGAATAATAATTTTATGGAAATACTCAAATACTAATAACAAATAACGCGCCACTGATAATATGTGATTAATAGAAAATAAATAGCTCAAAATACAAACGACAATCACATAAATTTATATTTTATTCATATTACAGACATGGTAATTATTGTTAAGAACGTCATAAATAGATTAATAGATACACCAAAAAAACTTTTCTACCTCTAATATATATTGTAAATTGTAATATTTTAGACTATAGTCTATATCAGAGACATAGGCGGAGATCGGGGGGGGGGGCTTACGGAGGCTTAGTCCCCCCAAAATAAATGATTTGAAGTTAAAGTCCCCCTAAGAATATTAAACAAACAATACCGTAATTTTGTACAGTTTGCAGAACTTTTTTCATTATTTTATATTCTTATATCCACAATTATATAAGTGTACCTAGTACATTACATACACACTATTTAGTAATTTATTATTTACGGTAACATACCGAAAAATTAAGTCACAATTCACAATAATATTAAATTGTGTTTATATACCTAATATTGTACATATTTTGTACCAATTGGCCATCTATATTGAATAACATATTATACCGTTCTATTTTAGATGGGAAAAATATTATTTCTTTTCCTAATTTTTATTAATTCTCGAGAAGCGATAGCTATTTTAGGACTATCGCTATAGCTATATTAAACCTATCGTAAAGTTTATTGTGATTGAATGAATCGTTAACCGTATTGACCATTTTATACTAAATTATATTTTACTTATTGTTTGATGTTCTTGGGAATTCATTTCTTTTGAGATTGTGATTTAGATTTTAAATAAATAATTTAATTCAAATATGTTTAAAATATTTAAATTTAAATCGTTTATTAATTATTCTTTTTTTTATGTTTGTAACTATTTAAGTTGTTATGATAACGAGTCAACGAGAACAATTTTTTATGAGTGATTTAATGTAAAAATTAGTTTGTTGGGGGTGTGGGGGCAATGCCCCCACGGGTCTGTTTGTCATCAAATATTTGAGCCCCCCTCAATATTTCACGAGATCTCCGCCTATGATCAGTGGTAGGTATTCAAACTGTGAGTCGAGGCTCCAAGGGGCGTCGCGATTATTTGTCATGGGAGCTGTGGCACAGGAGGAAAAAAACAACCATGATGACGATTAATATAATATTGTTTTGTTCTAAACATAAAACATTTCGTTTCAGTTTTCTATGCATAATTATTATTAATTTTGTTGTATTTATAATATGTGTTCTATTATTATAAATATCTAAGTTTTTTTTAATATTCTCTTTCTGTGTCAATAATTTGAGTCACTAAAATGCTAGGTATAGAGACGAAGGACTAAAAAGTCGTGGAATGAAAAAGTTTTAATAGGGTTCAAGTACCTCTAATAATATAAACTATATTATAGGTATTTATTATAAGATATAATATTGAGTAATATAATATTGATATGGTATCATAACCTGTATCATCACTTATAAAAAATATCGAGAGATTTTCTAAAATTGTCAAAGTTTTTAAACTGTTCAACTGTTCAAGTCACGATGTATAATCTTCTCTAATGCTTCAAGTGCTTGTTATCGTATGTTATAACCCGCGCACGCCACAATATATCCACTGATCAAATCAAAAGAAATAATATACAAATAATTGCTTTTTGAAAATAATATTATGTATGGATATAGTTTATTATAATATATTATATTTTATATTATTACATACTTACAACTATATATTACCACTATAGTAAATATTAAATAATAGGTATTAGGTAATTACTATTTACTAATTAGTATAACCATATGTCCATATCGTCTATTAGTAAACTATGATCACAATATTTTAGTGTACAAAAATGGTTAGTAGGTAGATACAAATGGAGACAGAAGGTATCCAAATTGACGAACCGATGTTCCAAGGAAAATAAAATACTATAGAGAAGGTCTTCATTATGATTTGTGAACTGTGAAGATAAATAAATTTCTAGATTTACCAAAGAGAAAACAGAATATACTTAAAATATAAATTTAAAGAGTGTATAACCCATTAACCAGTATAAGTACCTTCAAGGCCTTACTGCAGACCCATAGCCAATATTTGGGTTAACGGATTATGCTGTCCTTGTTCTGAAGACATTTTAAGAAGATTTTATTTTTTTGTATTTGTTTTGATTGAGCATTATTATAACACAAATAACTACAAAATTACAACTAGGTATATAATTATCTACTGGACTTATTTTGAATGTAGCTAATTATATACTTATAAGTTATATTTATGATTAATAGATGATCACTTCAGATGATATGCAACAATTGCAAACTTTCGGAGGAATTTAAAATTTCGTTAATAAAAAACTTATACCCAGAAGAATACAAGATTGAAACTAAAGATATAGGTACAAGCATAAGCCATAAGGTACTAATAATTAATGTCACAAATTAATCCTACTTAAGTAGGAACAGTATTCACTGGTGATCAATGAACTCTCCAAAAACGTTTGAAAGGAAAAAAAATAAATACCCAATTATTGGTCTACTGAGCGCACACGAATTGCTTCCCATGAATTTTTTTTGGAAAAGTTACTCGAACTGCCTCTTGACTCAAAAATATTATTCACTTGGATTGCCTCATATTTCAGGTAATGACCCTCCTGGAATCGGCTTCAATACAGTGGCGTACCAATAGGGTGGCATGACGGGCAAGTGCCACGGGCCCAGGGCCCCAGAACGCCGGGGAGGGCCCTTCAAAAAATGTAGCAATTTAAATAAAACAGATTACCGTTATTACAGAATTTTAGTTATTAATAAGTTCTAGTAAAATTAAATCATTTTAAAGTAAAATAAATGTAATAACTAGAAAAATAACTGATACACGCAACACGCTTACAAGTCTAGGATACCGTATTGAAGTCTCAGAAGTCTGTCGATTTCTCGATTCGTTATCAATTATCATTTGTCATATTATACGCTATACAGTCTATTGTACTGCCCAGCTGAAAATTGAATAGCCGTCGTTTTTCTATATTATTTTGTCATTAGTTATTCTGTCATCAGTTGTGAGTTGTCGTCACTCGTTGAACCAAATAATTGATATTGTGATCATGTCAAAAAAAGTACCTAGTGGCTATGAAAAGCGTAAAAAAAATGGAAGAACAAGAAAAAGTATCAAAACTGCCTAAAATAAGTGGTTATTTATAATATTTAAAAAAATAAAATTCTTATTATAATGTGTAACAAAAAATGACCATATTATTCATGAAAGTATAATAAATATGCTTTTAATTATTTATTACCTTTTATAGCAGGGGTGGGTCTAGATATAAATTGTGTGAGTAAGTGCATGCTCTTCATATTACAAATTTGAAATCTAAGGCCTAAGGGCCCGCTGGATTTTTTCGCCACAGGCAATCGAAGTTTTAGTTACGCCACTGCTTCAATAGCTATAATCAATCCATTTATAACCTTACATTATAGGAAATATTAATAAACTAAATAATAATTTATTGTCAGTTAATGTTGAACGTCAATAATTAATAAATAATATATACATATATTGTGTAAACATTTTAGTAAACATACTGCTTCAAAAATTAAAAAAAAATCAGTAATCAATACGTAAAATTAATTTAGATAAAATATAATTCTGTTATGAGTACGGTCAAAAACTTAAGTTAATAGGTAAATAGTTTAAAGTTTATTATTATGCTGTATCTTATATTAGTTTCCGAGGTTCGAATTAATTTTCCAATACTTTTAAATATTGTAATTTTGAAACTTAATTTGTTTTTTAAAGCAATATTTTTAAACACTTTTTATACACTCCGTATAGACCGGGAGGCAATTTTTAGTGTAATTTGTAGATAGGAATATATATTTGTATATTATATGGGTTATTATAAGTAGGTATCTACCTATATACTCTCTAACTTTTATTAACTCATTTAGTTACTTTATCTCATACATTACTGTATTTACTTTGTAAATTATATCATTATCAAAAGGGATTTCCCGTATAAATAAATAAATAGTATAAAATATACGACATGACTTGCTATGTGTAATGACTAATGTGTACCTAGATATAGATGGGGTAACATAAACTACATCAAAAAATTAGTGTTCAACTGATGATAATAGTGAATAATAAATATACCTATATCATAATTCATAACTTTTTGAATGATAATAAAAAGAATAATATGCAATTATTTAACTCTGAATATTCTATTCCGTTTATTTGACGAGCTATTATTCCATGAATATTTTATGGTTTAACGTCATTATAATCCACCGCTTTATTTGTCGTACTTTTCTTTATATGGCTTAAGGGTGACAATATAATCAATGATAAAAACTAAAATACAATTTAAACTTTTAAAGTAAAGGTTTTAATAATACATGAATTTTGTGCAACCCTCATTCACACGTATTTTGATTTTGTTTACCTATTTACCTATTCAAGTTTATAATTCCATTCGTATACTAATATTGTAACTATCTATTATAATTTATTACATAATATTTATTTTATCATGAACCAAGTAGGTTGTAAGTACATTATATGTGAATTATATATCTACCATTTTGCCATTGATACTACTACTATAAGTACTAACTTATATCTTTATTTACCTAATAAGTAATAAAGATAGAGTCGCGTATGGAATTTATAGACTCATAATATTATAGCCATAGGTAGTTCAATAGTTGATCTTTAATAATAGTCCCTACTAGCATTACTGAATTCAATAACTTTTACTTTGGAGTGAGAACTATCAACTATAAAATTAATAATAATTAGTAACCTGATCGTAGACATTAGTTATCAGTAAAGTGTGATTGTCAAAGATCAGAAGTATATGTTGGTGACTAATCAAATTCAAATTGAGATTCAAGAGTTTATTCAGATATATGTTAAATTTATAGAACATTTTAACTAACAAAATATTTAACTTTTTTTATGTATTTGTGTCCAGTGGTCGAAGTGGGGGGGATACGGAGGGATGACATCCCTCTACTTTTTTGTATTTACATTTTTCATCCCTCTACTTATTTTATCTAGAATAATGCATTCCTCCTAGGACTTGTGTTTTAAAATTAAATAATTATTATGATATTCATATTTATACATATGTATAAGAAAACTTTTTATTTTACGTATAGGCCTAAATCTGAATTGTTAGGCATCTCTCCACTTGTCTTGAGCCATTTCGACCACTGTTTGTGTCACAATAACGGCATGTCACCATATCTTATTTATATAATTATATTGGTATCAATTTTAATCCTAAACCATCTTGAAAATACATACACATTATCTAAACAGCAATAGCAAAAATAATCTATTTTAAAAAAAATATGTATGTACATTACATTATTAATTCCAAGTTTCTTTTTTTAACTTTTGAAATTCGTCCAATGATGTTATCTGTTGATACTCATTTTCTCCTTTGGGCTATGGACATGAACTAAAGCTAAACCATTCAATCTATCTTGACTCATTGGTGATCTTAACCAATCTTTTAATCTAGATTTAAAACATGTACTATATGTTTATAATACTATTAACTAAACTATACTAAACGTATACTGTTGATCGTGAGTCGCGACAGTCAGTCGTCGAACGAAACAACAATCCAAAAATAGCTTGAAGCCTAAATGTTCAAGTATTTGTAGATAACTAAATTCTTCGACGACGATGTTTTATAACAATAATTATTGATGTTTGATACATCAGAATACTTGACTTAGAAAAATAAATAGCTTAGTCCCAAGAGCGGGGGCTAATTCCCCCTTACCTTCGCCCCAGTTCAGCAGACTTTAGACAAAAAGTAAAGTACAGACACAGTAGGTAGTTGTCGACCCTCATAAGCTGTATTATGTACCTATGCATAACCTATATGTAGGCCCCACAGTCCATAGTTTATTACCAATAAAGAGGATTTTTAGGTTTTTACTTATTGTATTTATTGGCTTTATGCAGCTCAACGGAAGGGAAAAACGTGAACGACTTATACAATACAGAATTCGTAGAAAAAAAATGTCTTCGCATATCCAAGTATGTTTTGTAGATATTAAAGTACCCATATTCAGCCAATATTTCATTTGCAAGAATATACTCTATTATTTGTTAAAAAAAAATCATGATTTTAATTTTTTGATTGCCTACAATACGACTATACCTATACATTGTCACATTGATTAAGGAATGGTAAACGGATACAAAAATAGGTTAGGTATCTCCTACACTGGGTAGTTTTTATATTTGGCCTAGGCTTTTTTATAATATAAACTTAATATAATTATTTATGTACCTACATAATATGATTAACAATAATTGAATAATGTAGTTCATTTTAAGTCATTACGGCAGATGATCAGCTATATTATATTGATGTGTGTTGTCCTGCAGGTTGAGTGCTTCAGACAGAATACCGAAAATTCCTGTTCTTGTCTCGTAATACGTACTATACTACTATGTAGGTATGATATTTGGTTATTAATTTAAAACGTACAACGTGTTTCATCATATATTCTATCGTAAGTACCATACCTCGACACTGGTACATATAAGGGGGGAGGATCCCACTTCACCTGGTGGCTGGTGTTGGCAAATGCCAAATGGCAACATGTACATATTGTGTGATGGTCGATTGTCGATTCTCATTTTGTTGATGGAGATTTCTGTTTTTCTCGTGATGTCAGGTGGGGGTGGCCATTTTTCTGAGAGTGGTTTTTAAATTGGTTGAATTTAGAAGTTTTTTGGATCCGCAGGACTTAGCTGCATATATTGCTACATTTTATTGTTGTTGAAGATTTGTTGTTACTTATTTTCCCTTTAACGTCGTTTAAGGTGAATTTTAATGGAATAAGATGAGTGATTGCCATTTGCTACAAGCGCATTTTTGCCGCCCATGCTTCGTGTTGATTATGGCTAAGTATCCATATCAACATAATCGAGTATCCAGAATTAATTAATTTACGTAGGTAGTGGGTTTTGGATTCTTATTTCTTCTGGCCATTTCATTTGAGGCATAATTATTATCAAACTCTAAGTACCAATAGTAACAAACTCCTACAATAGAACAGGTAATGTTAGATCCTATATTATGTCATAAAAGCATTTATTTTAAATAATTTATGAAGGGAAGATAGAAAGAGAAGACGGTCCTTTTATAAATATCAGTCTTTTATTTATGACACACTATTAAAAAGGCATTCAAAAATTCTATTAAATACAAATAATAATAAAGCTGAAAAAAATTCATTGAAAAAATATAGTGACTTCCTATTTTCGATATTTTGTTTACTTCTATGAGAACCATATTATTTATGAATAAACTTGTAAATTGTAATACATTTAAACGCTATTTACTTTAAAAAAAACATTTTATCAACATTCAAAAACTTCAATATTTATAAATACTTCATACAAAACATTTTGAAAATTTCCATGAAATACTAATATGAATGATTGGTGAACATTTAAAATATCTATGGTTTCCCGTTTTTGAATTACCTACCCATCTAAAAAATCAATAAATCAAATTATTATTATTATGTTATTTAAAATTTGTCAAATAGCCAATTTAAGGTATTAACAGCTTTAAAATCTGTTTGAGATATTACATGATTTTACCAGACAGGTGAAAAGGTCCGAGGATATTAGAGTCTAGAGATTACACTATCTTTTATGTTAAAAAAGTTATTCGTGTAGGAGCTTAAACTAGGGTTGCCATTTATACAAAAATACAAGTCGGGACACTATAATACCCCCCCCCCACAACACATTCTTTGGAATTTTTAATAATACCTTTTTTAGTCCAACGTTATTTAATATTTTTATTATATTATAATTTATAATAAATAAGAAAGTCTAAGATTAGAAATAGCACAAAATGTAATAATAGTATTCTTATTATCTTATTCATAAATATAATTTTAAATTATCTAAAAAAATTAATTAGGTACACAATTTTTAATTTAAAACAGAGTGGTCTTACTTATTTACTAATATGTGTATTGTTTAAATCTTATTTTAAGAAACCGGTACTTATCCACGTCCCGGCCGGGAAATGAAAAATATCGGGACTCTGTAGTAAAAACCGGTAGTGTCCCGGCGAAATCGGGACGAATGGCAACCCTAGCTTAAACTTATTCAGTTATTTATAGTAAAACCTCCAAACAATAAATCATAATATTTACAACAGTCAAGTTGTCGCAGCACGGTACCTTCTTATGAACAGTGATGTATAGTTAACTATAAGCACTATGGTAGTATGGTGTTTAATTTATATTTGATATGATATCAAAACTTTCTAGAGATGAATATATTTACTGATTGCATAGGTAACGCCCAATAGGATTTGATATTTTTTATTAATCCTTTTCTGTTATGCTGCTGATCTGCTACATAGGTAATTGTGACTTGTAACTTTTAAGAGGTAACAATCTTTTTAATTTTTTGTTTAAATTGTTGTGTATGTACTTTGATTACTGTGATCTGTAAGCAATAGTCAATTAATAACATACCTAGGTACTTTTTTTATTTTCGGCACATGATTCGTAAAGCCATGGCAGTAAGTTTGAACTGATTAACTACATTAATTTTTTTTTATAAATACATCAAACCATCATTTTTATGATAATATATTTATACATAACTTGGTGTGTAAATTAATAAAAACAATTGTAAACTCATTACTGTACTGGTATAAACTTATTTTGTTACACTTAATGCATTAAATAAATTTATTGTTTAGAGTATAATGGCAGCTAAACCCTGGGAATCTACACATCGCTTATCCCCATACATCCGTCCACAGCAATACTTCATTAATCTGTATCCAAATCTTGAACAAGGCTCATTTGTTGGTTCTGTTGATATAACAATAATATTGGACACTGCTCAAAGTTACATTAAGCTACATTCAAAAGGGTTGAATATCAAAGAGACAAAACTCAATTCCAGTTCTGTAACAGCATTTTCATATCCAGAACACGAATTTTGGGTTGTAGTACCAAATGAAGAACTAAGTGCCGGGGAATACAAACTACAACTTTCATTTGAAGGTAGTTTGTTGAACAAAATAGTTGGATTTTACCGAAGCGTTTATACAGATTCAAAGAGCCATGAACAACATTATATTGCTACTTCAAAGTTTGAACCAACTTATGCACGGTTAGCGTTTCCTTGTTTTGATGAGCCTCAACTGAAATCAAAATTTAAAATTAGTTTAATTCGACCATCCGGTAATAACTACATAGCTTTATCAAATATGAACCAAGAGGTGATTATAAAATAAGTTTGAATTCAAATTTTGCACTGTTAAATAATAATTTTGTTTTAGTCTGAAGAGATCAATGTTCCTACGAATGGATCGACTACAGTCCATTTTGCTAACACTGTTCCAATGTCTACATACCTCGCTTGTTTCATAGTATGTGATTTTCAATCACTTGAACCTGTAAAAGCAGACCAAGGGTTTCCATTAACAGTATATGCCAGAAGTGGTCAATCTGAAAATATGAAATATGCTCAACAAGTAGGTCTTAAGGCAATTAACTTTTATGTTAATTATTTTGGAATTCAATACCCACTACCAAAATTAGGTATGTATTTATAAAAACTGAGTTTTAAATTTTACATAGTATTATATAGCTCTTACAATGATAATTATAATTTGTTAATTTTTTGAACTTTAGATTTGATAGCAATCCCAGATTTTGTTTCCGGTGCTATGGAGCATTGGGGTCTTGTAACATTTCGTGAAACTAGTGTTTTATATAAAGAAGGCATAAGTTCTAGTTCTAACCAAGAGCAAGTAGCTTTGACTGTTGCACATGAATTGGCTCATATGTGGTTTGGAAATCTTGGTACGGAAATACATAAAAATATATTAAATATATTTAAAAATTAAAGAAAATATGTATAAATCGTAAAAAAATTATACTTTAATTAACTATACTTTTTTAGCAACTATGAAATGGTGGAATGACTTATGGCTTAATGAAGGATTTGCTTCTTACATGGAATTTAAAGCTTTGCAAGTTGTCCACCCTGATTGGGATGTTGTATGTATCTGATATATTTGTTTTTTTGTAAGCCATTATTCTTTGTTATTATCAATTATTTTATTAGGACACATTATTTCTAATACATAGTCTCCAATCGGTACAATATCTAGATAATAAACTTAGTTCTCATGCTATAGTGCAAGATGTTTCTCATCCAGATCAAATAACCGAAATTTTTGATGTCATATCATATGATAAAGTAAGTCTTATTGTCCCAATGTTTTAAATATGTATATTATATTAATTTGATTTCTTAGGGTTCTTCTGTAATACGAATGTTGGAAGGAATGTTGGGTGAAGAAGTATTCAGAATTGGAGTAAGCTCATATTTAAAACGTTTTGCTTTTAACAATGCTGAAACTGATGATTTATGGGCAGAATTACAAACAGCAACTCAAAATACAGTAGATGTTAAAAAGGTGAAAACATAATCTATTAATTAGTAAACATTTATAATATTTAACATAATATAAACATTGTTATGTATACTTTAATAAAAAAATAGCTTATGGATACATGGACACGCCAAGCAGGGTTCCCAGTAGTATCGGCTATACGGAATGGAACAAAACTTACTTTAAAGCAGCAAAGATTTTTGTCCAATCCAAATACTAATACTTCCCTTGACTCATCTCCATACAATTACAAATGGGAAATACCAATTACTTATATCACTTCAAACAATAATACTGTGCATAAGTTTTGGTTAACCAAAGAAGAGGATTCAAGTAAGTATTATGGTTTGTTGAATATGTCAATTGATATTAATTAAAATACTTATTTATAAGTTACAATTGACATACCTGATGCTGAATGGATAAAACTAAATCATAGACAAGTTGGATATTACATCATAAACTATTCAGAGAGTGATTGGTGGTTACTCACCAATTTGTTAGAAAACAATGTTGATGTCAGTATTTGGATAATATTTCAATTAATCATTGTATCAATTATATTATTAAATTAAAATTTTACCATTTAAAGGCGTTAAGTGCGGCTGACCGTTCAAATCTTATTCATGACGCCTTTAGTTTGGCAAAAGCTAATTACTTACCATATGGCATAGCATTAAACATGACAAAATATTTATCTTTGGAACATCATTATGTTCCTTGGGATGTAGCTGCTACGAACTTAAATACATTAAGGCACAATTTATATCAACGTGCAGCACATAAAAACCTTGAAGTAAGAGTATAGAACAACTAACAATTACAATGAGATAGTATTACAAGATATATAATATGTTGCTAAATTCATGAAATTAACAGCATTTGAGTAATAATGGATAATTCTGATTTCATGAATGCATAATTTTGTCAATATATTATTGACATTATTTAATGCCGTTGCAATTCTGTATATGCTAGTTTTTGAATTTATTTTAATAAATAATAAAATAAAATATCAGATGAGAAACGTTTTATACTGAAATCATTATTTATGATATACTGAGTTTATAAAAAGAAACATCTAAACATTCAAACAGCCTCATTGGCAATCAAAAGTAAGACATAAAAAAATTATTTTTATTAGTATTCAAAAAATGTTGATTTCAAAGTCAAGAATTGGGTGAACTGTCAAACTGTCACATAATTGAAAAATATTAAAATATTATTAATTTTGTTTATAAACATTTAAGCTTTTGAAAAATTTCATAAAAATCAGTAAAATTACAATACTAATTATTTATTATATGACGCTTTTACATAGATAATTATTTTCTATAAATAATAACCTACATTCTTAAAATGTTTAGACTAATTTTTAGTTATTTACATGTTATATCATAATCCTATTCACACCATTCGGTGGTTTTAAGCTTATACAAAATTATTAATTTAATTTTTAATTCATCATTCACCAAATTTTGATTATTGTACTTAGGCAAATTGATGATTTTATTTATTTGGTATGACTTATATAATTATTTTGTTTATTAAAGAAATATGTACAACATTTATTGGGAAGTATAAAAGAAGATTTTTGGAATGATTCAAGTGATAGAAACTTTTTACAACGTAAACTTCAAGGAGTTATTCTAAACTTGGGATGTTTATATGGTTTACCAAGCTATCACACTAAAGTATATGAATTATTTAAACGATTTTTGGATGATAAAATCCAACCAAATCCAGATATTAGATACACAGTTTATTATTATGGTAAGTTAAATTTTAAATGTTTTCTTGAAATGAAAAGGTAATTTATTATTATTTAAAGTTTAAATATTTAAAAAATTTTTTTAGGAATGTCCCAAGGTAATGAAAGCGAATGGAATAGACTGTGGGACTTATTCTTAAATGAGCAAGAACCTCAGGAAAAAATCAAACTTATGGTAGCATTAACTGCCTCAAAAGAAACATCAATATTAACTAGGTATATTTTGCACTTCATTTTATTTATTTGGAATAAAATACATTTTATTTTTGTCTAGACTATTGCAATATGCAAAAAATGAGAGCTTTGTTCGTTCTCAAGATTATTTCATAATCATATCACAGATAAGCCGAAATCCTGTTGGAACTCAATTGGTATGGGATTTTCTAAGGTATATAATATATTGTAATTACATTTTAAAAGAATAAGTATAGGAAAATTTTAAATTTAATATAATGTAATTTTATGTTATGTTAGGGATGAATGGCAGTACTTGGTTGAACGTTTTTCTCTTAACGATCGTGGATTTGGAAAACTTATTCCTTCAGTTTGTTCTCATTTCAATACACATGAACGACTTGAAGAAGTTAGTATTACTTTATTCTAAGAAAAAATGTATCTCTTATTTTAACATACTTAAAATTCAATGTATATGTATATTTTTTAGATGAAAGTATTTTTTGAGAAATATCCAGAAGCAGGAGCTGGAAAAGCTGGCCGAAAAACTGCACTAGAAGTTGTATCTAATAACATTAAATGGTTAGAAAGTCATGAAGCTGCTATTAGTAATTGGTTGATTAATGTTATCTAATTTTTAAAAATGATCTATTATATTGTTGAAAATTAACAATTTTTATTATTGGTTGAAATATTATTTTTTTTTTATACAGGGTCTTATTAATTATTATTACAATGTTAACTTTTATATTCTACCCATGGCTAATTAACTGAAAAATGTTGCTAAGCTATGATTGTTCCTAATTGTATAATCACTGTGTGGATTTTAATAAATGAAATATTCAATATATAAACAAATAATTCTTTATATCAATTGAAATTTAAAAGTTAAAAAAATATACTGCCATTATAAAAAATGAATGTACTTGTTTTTAATTATAAAAAATAATTATAAATGATTGTAGATTAAGAATTATATAATTAGTTTTTTGATCAAAACTTAAATAATTTATTTGATTTTAAACTTAGAATTTAAAAAAGTTAATGGCACGACATATTTTCCATGTATTTTTAGTGAAAGAATTTAAACCTAATACAATATATTTAACACAAGAATTAGAGGTAATATTAATGAACGAAAAAGATTAAAAATAAAAGCTGCAGCTTTTTTATATTGAATTGGATTATCTAATATTTTTTTTTTACATTTATAAAAGTTTATAATACTGCTATTTATTGTGTCAATGAATTGATTACTAGATATATTTATTCATCAACATTTTAAATGTATCAATTCCCGGAACATAATTCCATACTAAAATTAATTTGTAGCAAAATATTTTGAAAAGATACTATGATGAGAAAGTCTTACCTCCACTGAAAATAGTGGGAAAGAATTATTTTGGTGTCAAAAATAGGATTAAAATCATAAATTATAAGTATTTTGCAGGGCTGAAATGTTAAAATTAGTTTTGATTAATCGTAATTCTTATTTTCTTTCAAATTCAAAATACTAAAATTTATTGATTTGTAACTATTGAATAAACGCATTCTTGTTAGGTAGGGTAATAAGTAATAACTAATAATGTATGGAATTAGAAAATAAAAACAATAAAAATTCCATAAGAGAACTTTTGATATTATAAAATATATAAAAGAACGATTATGCATCAATACTAACACTCAAATTCAACGGGGTAGTATGAAAGACATTTATCTTCGTCCAATCCAAAATGATTTAACACATATTTACTAATACATTTATTTATATTTATTTGAACAATTAAAGAATTTAATGGATTTTCATTTGTAAAAAATTGAATAGGTAAAAACTTAATTTGTATTTTTAGAATCTAAATATAATGTTTTACAAACTTCTGAAAGATCAAGGTCAGAAACTGTTGGTATACCTCCAGGACGGACTTCATTAATTGTTTCTCGAGCATATGAATCTGTTAATATACGAGGATCATTCATTGGTGGAACAAGCAGCATGTTAATAGCTGGGTACAAAAGAGTAATGACCACAATAACACAGCATACCCACACAGGTATAGTAATTGCCCAGTACTTTTGTGGTAAGTAAGTTAAACCAATATATTCCAACCAATGACTCGGTATAAACGCCCATGCTAAATAAACAACAAATGCAGTCTTAGAAGCCAGGTATAAGGCAAACCCATAATTGGCTCGACTTTCGGTTGGAGATGGTGTATTTTGACGAGGAGCTTCAGAAGTGATCATAGTTAGCTGATGGTGATTTAAGGTCAAATTTTTGTGTTACTTCAGATAGAACTTTAAGTATATCTAATAAACTGTTAGAACTTGAACGCAAGGAATGAAGTTCTGTCGATTCAATTGTCCTGAAAAAAATTAATGTTTTTAACTGCATATAAGTAAAAATAATAGTTTATAATATAAGGTGTATAAACACCATAGTCTGTTAAATTTTAATACTTACACACTTACAAATGTATCTGCGATATCACAAATTCTATTAACAGAACTACCTGGCTCTTTTTCTACTCTAAGAGCATGATATACAGCTCTAGCGTGATGGGGAGTTCCAGCATCAAATTTAAGAGTTCTGAGATATTATTATTTAGGAAAAAATTATATTTAACAGATAATTAGGTGGTAACATTAACAATTAACATATTATACAATCGATTAAATAAAATATAAACATAACTATATTGAGTTTAATGACAGATTAATTAAAAAATATTTCTCTTTAAAGGGTGTTCAAAGAAATAATTTTTCTCAATAAAACAATTTTGGCCAATGGTTTTATAATGTGGATCAACCACGTTGTGTGGAGCATCTAGTATTTCAATTACTCTTCTACTGCACTGTTCTCGAACACTGTTGCAAAATACATTGGCAAAAATTAATTCTGTAGGATACAGCTGTGCATTTGAATTAGAAAGTTTTTGCGATACCCTGTGTAACACAGCTGCCATGGCAAATAAATCCATAGCAATACTGTTAGCCCTATCAAGTATCATTTGGAAATAGCAAGTATCGGGACCAAGATTAATAAACATATTTTGAACACCAAATTGAAATCTGCTTAAGCAATACTCTAAGTCCAATGCCTGTTTCTTGAGTGACGGATGCAAGTGCTTCTCAATGTAATGATTCAATTTTGGCTTATCCTTCAATGATCGTTGGATTCTCATGATATGACTTAATGTATACTTGGGAAACATAAGTGGATTTCTTAATTGTCTCACATCTTCTGCCATAAACTGTCCAGCATACTGAATGCCGAGTAGAGCACCAACAATTGGTAGTAAATTTGATCTACCTTCAAATAATAATGAGTTTTCGATATATTTATACGACTTCTTGGATAAACCCAAGTCGTTCAACAAGTTTAAGCAACTACGTGTTGTTTCACTTACAAACAAACGAGCAAGTATTGGCTCATAGTCACTTTTAGGATTATAGGTATCTAATATCAGACTAGTAAATTCCAAAACACAGTCCATAGTATACAAATGGCTATTCAGCTTTCCTAGTTTAATCAAACTCGATCGATCATGGGTCTGGATATTTTGAGAGGCTTTTTGAACAATATTTTGTATCTCCCCTAATGTAGCAGAAGAGGATTCCAATAAATCACCATTGAACAGTATTGTAAAAAAGTTTAGGCCTTCGTTTTCAGATCCTAAAATACAATCAGCTTCAACATTATTGAATGTCACATTACAGTGATTTCCTTCAGTAGTAATTTTAATGCCACTGTTTTGTGACTTTTTAACCAAAAAGGCTGTGAAAAAATTGTGTTCACTCTCTGGACGATTGCATTCATCCATAGTCTTAGCAAGTACTAAAAACATATTGGCTTGTTTTCCATTCACAACCCACTGTTTTGAACCATTAATTATCCATTTTCCATTTTTTTGGGAGGCTGTAGTCTCATTACTTTGAATATCATATCCATGTTTGCTTTCATAAATACAGTACGATGCAATACATTCACCAGAAGCTAATTGTGGTAAATAGTATCTCTTTTGTTCATCTGTTCCAGTTGTATTAATGCACTTCACGACGCTACCGTGAGCAATGCTCTCTCTTAAGTCAGCGAAATCAATCCGCTTATAAGCTTCCGAAACCGAAGCTGAAGACAGTTCTAAACCTCCATATTCTTTGGGCACGCTGACTCCAAAGAGTTTATCCAATTTTGGTAAGTTGACTTCTTTGGTACTTCGGGCAAATGCGGTTTTGACAAAATTTCCTACAAACAAACTTTTAGCAAAAGACGGAAGGTTTTGATCAACAACATTCCCTTGAGGATGAGACTTATTCGAAACAGCAGCGGCAGCTTGTGAGTAATTTCGACAGACAGAGCTAATCTTAAATCTATACAATGACATGATTAATATATATATAATATAATTTAATATAACTTATAATACTACTGAATTAAGGATACACGGAGTGCAGTTTTTCTTCAACTGGAGTTTCAGAAGACATCTCAAATTAGACACAATCGTAAGTAATCCGAATTTCTATCAATTCTAAACACTAAAATTATTTTTTATTTTGGTTTTGTTAGGTTATGAGTATTTTCAACGACTACCGACAATACGAATTTAGATAACATTATCAATTGTGATAAAAATTATATCGGGGGCACAGATATATAGAATAAATTCTATATATCTGTGATCGGGGGCAGTTGTTGTCCAAATATTATCTATGGCCACGATGGTAACTACTGGTAATCGATCAAGAAGTTCGGGTTACCTAACCTTTAAAAAGTCCGCTTACATTTTAAACTCATATCATGTTATAATTTATATTTGTTTATTCCTCCTACCTAGAATTAAAAAAAAATTATTCCATAAACAAATTTAAAAAAATATAAAAAGTCAAAATACAAAGTGAGAAAGTAAAACTGGAAATTCACTAGGTAGGTGGGCCTAACTTAAGTTAAATCGATTCATGATTTATAATATATCCAGACCTTGGATTAAACTTTTTTACATTACCCATTACACATTACTAAAATAACAAAATTATTGTTTATATTTTCAGACTTTGTCCAACTCAAAAAATGTGCTAGGACTTTTTGTTTGACAGTAAAAAATAATTACTTTTTTTTAATCACTCTTTTTGTCAATGGACATATTTTATGTCTGCGGGATTTAGCCGTGACTATGGTCACGATCACGATTTACCTTCTAAGATCGTAGCCTCGATATTTACCACCGATATCTTCAAATCGTGGATCACATATATATATATACATTATTATCTCATGGTTAGGTAAGATAGTAGCCAGTAGATCACTTATATTTGGTACATTGAATGTATCTGCAAATTTGAATTCTATGATAAATTATAGTATAAAAAAAAAATTCTGAGCGGAGGCCGGAGACTGTCTATCAGCCTATACATTTTCTATGGATATTTTGCTATAAAAAGTTATTAGTAATTTATTTGTTTAATAGAAATACGAGAGGTTGAACTAATAATTAATAATAGATCAAATATTTGAATGTTAAATGTATTTTATATTTTAACAAATTTACTTTAATTTAGTAATTTTAGTTTTTCAAACCTAGAAATCACTCGTTCAAATTTTGATTCAGATACTTCAAGGTTTTCAAAAAAATCATCCATGTAAATAATTCTCCGTAAAAAGATTAGTTCTCATTTGAAAAAAGTAGTTCCTACAATAATGTACAAACACAAGACTTTTCTCAAATGGTATTAAAAAATATGAAGTATGAACTATAAGTTACCTATAAAATTGTATTAACATGTTCCTTAAAATTTCCATAATTCATAATTTGAATTCATCCATCATATAAAAGAAAAAATGGAGGTCAGCATACTGCTGAAATTCGCTTGGTGAAAATCATCTTGTATCATAAAATAGTTAAAAATAACAATTTCAGAATAATTTGAAAAAAATAGTTACAGGTATGTATTATTTAAAGATCAAATCACAATCAAGAGTGTGACTCAATAAATAAATCACAACAATATAATAGGGTATGTGCATTGTGCATTACAAAAATGACATAGTCCGAATTCTATATAATATCTAATTACATGTTTAATGATGATATTACATTATTAAATGATTTAAAAATTATAAATTATATTCAAATATTAATTTACAAACGTTTGTATCTGTATACATTGTACATATGTGATTCCCAAAAACTTCAGGAATTCCTAAGGTGGCCCTCTGAAAATATTCCTAGTAATATTAAGTATATATTAAGTAATCCCTGCCATAATATACCTACCTACACTATATATAATTGGAACTTATCAATTTTTACTTGGTCTTGACCTTGACCTTTGAATAAGATTAAATACAAATTTATTGAAAATTAGTTTCTATTTCTTGAATTACATTACTCATTAGTAAGTTAAATAAATTATAGTGTCTCACTCGTCCTCACTACTTTGTTCTCTGTAGCCTAATATTCATTCATCTAAAAACCAAATGATAGTTTTTTATGTGTATGTTTTTTTTACCTATATATTTTAATTTAATTTTAAGTATTGTCTTAAATATTAAACCTTTAAACACAAATGTGGTGATTCACTAAATACGTTATATAACATATATTTTAATTTATTATATTTATACCTACACATTTATTTTGCTCAGGAACAATAAACTAATGTACATAATATGTGGTGTATATCTATGATCTTAAATTTTGATCTGATTAGAAACAAATGATGAAATTGTGGTTATGACAAATATTTGTACATATACCCCATGTGTTTAGTTTGTGAATAGACGATCATACAAGTAAATTGAGACTGAAATCGTGAGTATGTACCTAAATAGTTAACTGTTGAGTGAAAAAATTAACTTGCTCAGTATACTATGATCCCTATGGACATCTTCATGTCAGGTTTAATGTTTATACATGATAGTAAACTAACATATAAATTATAAACAAACAAAAATATGTTACTGTACATAAATTTAAATTGTAAACCAATCTAGTCATATTATTATAGTATATTATCAATACATTTTTAAGACTAATTGGTGAATATAATTAAAAACTGAACAATTTTGTATGGTTTCAGATTTTATGGACAATTTTATATTAAAATGCATGTTTGCAGGTAGGTTCTCTATTCACGTCATATATTATATTCATCATCTTGACGAATTAAAGTATAGCAAATTTTATCAGATCAAATATGACACCAGTAATAAAATGGGTGGTTGTACTTGTTTTCACGGTCGTCACCGTTGTAACAGTCATTACAGTTATGTTAAATCATTCAACGCAATTCATTAAGATTCTAAAAAACGAAAAGTTCGAGGAAATAACATCAGCAGGATATTTAATTGCCCCCTACAATTCGGTGAGTGTTTGGAAAAATCTATAGAAATACGAATACTTTATTATGGATTGTGAATATAAGAAAACCAACAGAGATTGTTATTCATGATTTTAAGGTAGTGATTATCAATATTTGTTTACTGGGATCACCATAAAGGGAGTCACTCAAAAAAAAGTCAATTTAGTTATAATATTATGTATATAATATTATACCTATTATACTTACTCATATATGTATGTATATACATATATATATACTAATTATATGTAGGTACTTGTAACTTATTGTTGCATAGAAAATATCGAGAGGTTTTTAAAATTTTCAAAGTTTTCATACTATTCAAATGCTTGCTTTCATACCTACCTATGTTATTGTGATCTGTGTACCTGTACTGTGTATGACATGGAATGAAATCTTAAATATTTGTTTTTTTTCTTATTACTTATTAATATTATTTATTTAAAAAATGTTGAGAAAAAACATAATGTACCTATATAATGAGCCCAAGTGTTGATAACAATTTTCATTGGATTAGAAAGCTAGAAAATGTAATACAATGTTCTTCATAAATTCTTAATTTAATAATTAAAAATTATCAAAAATAGGTACTTTGTAACAATAATTATTGACAAGCTCATAGTGTTGTGTTAGAATTTTGACAAAATTACAGTGACCTACTAAGTTATTAATGAATAGGTAGTGTGGTACAGTAGAGTAGTTATGGGAAAGAGGGATGACAGAGGTAGACCTCATCAAGATCATTTAGATTATAAGCAGTTCAATTAATGCATTATATTACAATGATATTATGTTTCTTTAATTATTTTTTTATATTTGTTTTATATGGTTTAATATGCACTTACTTTTAATATGAAAAAATTGGACATTTTTAGATTTTTTTTTAATAAACAGGAAAAACAAAAAGAAATTACAAAAACATGAGTTTTTCAAAAATTGAAAAATTTAGTTTTTTGGTGTTACTCAAAAACTAATAACTGTATAAACTTAAAATACTCACCAATTGTTTATTTTATCTTTTTACATGTGATTTAATTATAGAAAATTATTTCCACTTCTTTTAAGCTATTTAGTGTTTATGGACATTTTAACTTTTAATTTTTTTAAATTTTTTAAAATATTTTCTTATAAATATCAATAACAGTTTGTTGTGAGGTCAAAAATATAACATTTTACACAAGTACCTAATAAGTTATTATAATAAAAAATAAAAAATATTAAAGCAACATAGGGTATTTTTTTTTAACATTTAAAGTTCAAATTTTGACTAAGCTCAACAAAATCTCGTGAATGTGTAAGTTATTTTGTAGTTAAAAATGTATAAAATGTTCAATTTTCATAGCTAAAGAATCAAAATTTAGAACAAAATTTCTCATATGTAGCTTATTCTGTAAACATATAAAAATACTATAACTATAAAAATATACAAGCAACATTTTTTACGCATGTATACAGTTCAATGTACAAGTAGTAATAAATTGTTTCAAAATCAAAATTGTTCAAATTAATTTCTTAGTTAATATCTTTAAAATGTGAATTTTTATAAACTTCATGATGCGTGGTTTACATTTTGTAGTAAGTATTTGAATTGATAACATTTTTTGTAAATATAATAATTTATTTTATTATTTTATAATATTATACTTTACACTTAAGCTTTCTATAAACTATGAAATATAAAGAAAATAGTTATTAACTAAATAATTTTTATACAGACAATACTAAAACTGTAAACCTATATTTTTGTCTAATTTATTCTTTAGAGTATAATGGCCGCTAAACCATGGGAATCTACACATCGCTTATCCCCGTACATTCGTCCGCAGCAGTACTTCATTAATCTATACCCAAATATTGAACAAGGTTCATTTATTGGTACTGTTGATATAACAATAAAATTGGACACTTCTCAAAGCTACATTAAGCTACATTCAAAAGGATTGAATATCAAAGAGACAAAACTCAATTCCAGTTCTGTAACAGCATTTTCATATCCAGAACACGAATTTTGGGTTGTAGTACCAAATGAAGAACTGAGTGCTGGGGAATACAAATTGCAAATATCATTTGAAGGTAGTTTGTTGAACAAAATAGTTGGATTTTACCGAAGCGTTTATACAGATTCAAAGAGCCATGACCTACATAATATTGCTGCATCAAAGTTTGAACCAACTTACTCGCGGTTAGCGTTTCCATGTTTTGATGAGCCTCAAATGAAATCAAAATTTAAAATTAGTTTGACTCGCCCATCTGGTAATAACTACATAGCATTATCTAATATGCACCAAGAGGTGATTATAAAAAATGATTGAGTTTTAATTTAAAGATTGCAATGTTAAAAAAAATTTTGTTTTAGTCTGAAGAGATCAATGTCCCTGCGAATGGATTAACTACAGTCCATTTTGCTAACACTGTACCAATGTCTACATATCTGGCTTGTTTCATTGTATGCGATTTTCAATCACTTGAACCTGTAAAAACTGATCAAGGGTTTCCATTAACAGTTTATGCCAGAAGTGGCCAATCCGAAAATATGAAATATGCTCAACATGTAGGCGTGAAGGCAATGAATTATTTCGTCGATTATTTTGGCATTCAATACCCATTACCAAAATTAGGTACGTATTTTAATTCAAATTGCATTTCTTATGAAATTATTATAATTACAGTCTAAGAAAGTATCTACTGGAATGCCACTGAATTGCACTTAAGTGACACAACCTGTTTAATCAAAATAAATAACTAATTTAATACTTTATTGAAATTTAGATCTAATACCAATCCCAGATTTTGTTTCTGGAGCAATGGAGCATTGGGGTCTTGTGACTTTTCGTGAAACGAGTGTTTTGTATAATGAATACATTAGTTCTAGTGCTGACCAAGAGGAAGTTGCTTTTACTGTTGCTCATGAATTGGCTCATATGTGGTTTGGAAATCTTGGTATATAAATATAAACACTTAAAATTTAAAAATGCAGAACTTTCAATACATATTTAGTTATCTCTTATTATTATAGAATCTTTTTATTAAGTACCTATAATATTTATTTTGTTTAATAATATACATTAATACAAATAATTATACACCTTATTAAATGTTTTCAGCTACTATGAAATGGTGGAATGACTTATGGCTTAACGAAGGGTTTGCTTCTTTTATGGAATCGAAAGCTATTCAAGTTGTCCATCCTGATTGGGATGTTGTAAGTAGTCCTATAGAATAGTGGTGCATGCAACCTTTTTAGATCCACCCCCCTTATTTATTTGAAATAATGAAATTCGATATCCGATAGATCCCGAATCAGTGTCTTTTTAAACGAACAGGGGTATTGTCTCGGATGGACAGTAGGTCAATATTAGACATTAATGTATTTGTGATTTTCAATGATTTGGTGTGGAATTTTTGTGATAGTTTTTGACTGTAATAGTGACTAATTCAATTTTGAGGTCTTTGTGTAGTGAAAGGTTAGGAACGTACTATGGTGTAGATGTTAATTGACGAAGAGAGATTGACTGGAAGGCCTGGAGGCTGGAAGCCATGAAGGCTTGGTACATCCCCATATTTGGATGCCCTGGGCAAAAATGGGTTTAGATAAGTAGTTTTTTGTTGATTGAGAGCTTTGACTTGAGAATAGGGTGTACCTAATGTATGGGGAGTGGGGACCCCAAGTTAGCTGCTTGTCTAAGACTAGACCTAAATATTTAGTTTGTGTTGTGGTTGGGATTGGGTTATTCTGAAAGTAGATTGCAGTTAGGTAACTTTTTCTTAGGGGGGAGGGGATTTGAAAGGACTTATCTGGATTCCCCAAATGGAAGACCATTTTGAAATAATAAATTTGGAGGTTTTGATAAGCTGTCGTAGAGTCAGAATGTAATGGGAGAATTGTTGTGAGTTTTTGACAGATATTAAAATTCATAATTAAACAACAATTAAAGAAATTATTTTAATAATATTAATAATATTATCAACATTTTAATGATTTAAAAAATTATAAAATGAAAATTTTATAATGAGCAATATAATAAAATAATGAATAATATAATACTCATGTCACATGTGTAATACACTAATATGTAACTGTTTCATTTGGTGTTAAATTATTGACGGGTTTAGAGGTAGCGCACCACTGCTATATAGGCTAAAGTGCTATGTATGTTTTTTTGTAAACCATTATTCTTCGTTATTTTAAGTTATTTTATTAGGACACATTATTTCTAATACATAGTCTCCAATCAGTACAATATCTAGATAGTAAACTTAGTTCTCATGCTATAGTGCAAGATGTTTCTCATCCAGATCAAATAACCGAAATTTTTGATGTCATATCATATGATAAAGTAAGTCTTATTGTCCCAATGTTTTAAATATGTCTATTATATTAATTTGATTTCTTAGGGTTCTTCTGTAATACGAATGTTGGAAGGAATGTTGGGTGAAGAAGTATTCAGAATTGGAGTAAGCTCATATTTAAAACGTTTTGCTTTTAACAATGCTGAAACTGATGATTTATGGGCAGAATTACAAACAGCAACTCAAAATACAGTAGATGTTAAAAAGGTGAAAACATAATCTATTAATTAGTAAACATTTATAATATTTAACATAATATAAACATTGTTATGTATACTTTAATAAAAAAATAGCTTATGGATACATGGACACGCCAAGCAGGGTTCCCAGTAGTATCGGCTATACGGAATGGAACAAAACTTACTTTAAAGCAGCAAAGATTTTTGTCCAATCCAAATACTAATACTTCCCTTGACTCATCTCCATACAATTACAAATGGGAAATACCAATTACTTATATCACTTCAAACAATAATACTGTGCATAAGTTTTGGTTAACCAAAGAAGAGGATTCAAGTAAGTATTATGGTTTGTTGAATATGTCAATTGATATTAATTAAAATACTTATTTATAAGTTACAATTGACATACCTGATGCTGAATGGATAAAACTAAATCATAGACAAGTTGGATATTACATCATAAACTATTCAGAGAGTGATTGGTGGGTACTCACCAATTTGTTAGAAAAAAATGTTAATGTAAGTATTTGGATAATAGTTTTAAAAATTATATATAACCTATAATCATATTTTTCAATCATATTATTAAATTAAAAATGTACTATTTTAAGGCATTCAGTGCTGCTGACCGTTCAAATCTTATTCATGACGCCTTTAGTTTGGCAAAAGCTAATTACTTACCATATGGCATAGCATTAAATATGACAAAATATTTATCTTTGGAACATCATTATGTTCCTTGGGACGTAGCTGCTACAAACTTAAAAACATTAATGCAACATTTATATCAACGCTTGTCACATAAAAACCTCAAAGTAAGATTATGGAAAAACTAAAAATAATAGCAGTGGACAGTGGTATTACAAAATATAATTTACTCAACATTTTTTTTCTTTAACTAAATCTTGAAAGATGTGAAATCATTACGCCATGGCTGAATACGTGAGATTGCTGAGATGCAATTTTGCTAACACCACAGTGAAGTTATTGACATATTGTCATTTTCCATTATAGACCATAATTTATTTAAGTATTTAAACTTGACGAGTGAAAGCCCATTTAAGATATAATATAATGTAGTATTTGGTATTTCCATTTAGCAATAATATACAAATAAATATCCAGAATATATGGGTACAAGATAATGAAGAAAAATAATTAGTAATTTGGTAAAAGATACATAATCAATTAGAGTAGGCGAATGAGATGTTTATAGATTGGCCCCTCTCATACAATGAGTAAGAGGTAATAATAATGACCAGCCTAAATACAATACTTTTAAGCTCAAATAAAAAAAGCTGATCTCTGTGATCCCTTGCTGTTAGGTCCCTCGTGGTCCCAACTTCCTTAATATATTACAATTATCTACACTAAAAGCACTATGAAGTCCAGTCCAAGAACGGCGATGAATAATACTGATACAATTCTATGGTACTGAGTACTGACTCATAAGTTAATTTATTTTATAATAATATACTTTCAATTCATTGAACCACCATCCCCACATTATGATTATTATATATGATTTTAATAATTTAATGTATGTAAGGGTATAATCGTTATTGTAACACATCATTCCAAATTTCCTAGTTTCTATGCCTAGTCATTTTTTTTTTTACAAAGTGATTTTTTGATTCTACACAATTATCAGCATTATATGCTCTTTAGAGTACTGATATCATGACGTATTTGCCGCCTACATGGCTGATCCATAAATTTGGACCTAACATAATATTGAAATATATTTATTTTTTATTGAAGAAATATGTTCAAAATTTATTGGGAAGTATAAAAGAAGATTTTTGGAACGATTCAATTGATAGAAACTTCTTACAACGTAAGCTTCGAGCAGTTATTCTCAAATTAGGATGTTTTTATGGTTTACCAAGCTATCAAACAAAAGCATATGAATTATTTAAACAATTTTTGGATGATAAAGTTCGACCTCATCCAGATATTAGATACACAGTTTATTACTATGGTAATAGTATAGTACTACTATATGGTAGTAGAATTTTAAATAATTTTTTTTTTCAAATATGCACATACTTCGTTTTTATTTAAAGATATTCATATTATTTCTATTTATTTAGGAATGTCTCAGGGCAATGGTAGTGAATGGAATAGATTGTGGGACTTATTCTTAAATGAACAAGAACCTCAGGAAAAAGACAAACTTATGGATGCATTGACTGCCTCAAAAGAAACATCAATATTAACTAGGTAAATTGAGCACTTACTTTTATCTATATGGAATAGGTAAAATATATTTTATTGTTTTTTAGACTATTGCAATATGCCAAAAATGAGAGCCATGTTCGTTCCCAAGATTATTTTTTTATGTTATCACAGATAAGCCGTAATCCTGTTGGAACTCAATTGGTGTGGGACTTTTTAAGGTACCTATATACAATATACATATATACATACAATATTTCTCGTAAAGAAGTAACGAAGTAAAATAAAGTATATGATAATGTATTTTGAGTTATTAAAAAAAAACCCTTTAAAGAGTGGGTCTAACTTTTTTATGGGTAATTCAACTTTTTTTAACAAAAACCGAATCTTCCGCCCATTTGGTGATATAAAAAACTCTGTATATAAAACTTTTCACCTTTTTACAGTAATTTTTATTTTAAAGATATTTGATTGTGCTATCAATAATCATACACAATCATTATTTTTACTAAATTAAAAAAAGTAGTAAAAAATTACCATTTTTGAAAGGAAGTCGCCTAAATACACTGTCCATTGACAAAAATTACAATCACAAAAGGCATATTAAGTTTAGTAGCGGTATCACTATTAACTTATGGAAATTATGTAAAATATGAAAACAGAATTCTGTATTCTAAGGTACCACAATTAAATAATTTTATAATAAAAAAAATTACCGTAAAAAGTTGAAAAGTTTTGAAAATACATCAGAAAATGTGTGATAGGTTCGGATTTGTTTAAAAATAAGTTGAATTGCTCATAAATAAAAAAATGAAAAAGTAAGACCCACCCTTTAGAGGGTTTTTTTTTCAAACTTTAATAAGGTATACTACTTTAATTTGACGCAGGCCAGTCAGTTTTCACGGGACACATTGTATATTATCATAATAACATTTGAAATGTAATATAATGATAATTTATGTTACGTTAGGCATGAATGGCAGTACTTGGTTGATCGTTTTTCTCTGAACGATCGGCAACTTGGAAAACTTATTCCCTCAGTTTGTTCTCATTTCAATACACATGAACGCATTGAAGAAGTAAATATTATTTGTTCTAAACCAACTTAAATGTTGGTTGATTACAATATCTTGATTGTTAAATTTGTATTCAAACTAACAGTTTGTTTTTGTTTTTTTTATCATACCTACTTAATTTTTATTTATATTTATATTTTTAGATGAAAATATTTTTTGTAAAATATCCAGAAGCTGGAGCTGGGAAAGCTGGCAGAAAAACTGCACTAGAAGTTATATCGAATAACATTAAATGGTTAGAAAATCACGAAGCTGTTATTAGTAATTGGTTGATAAATTCCATCTAATTTTAAAAATTGACCGATTTGCAGATAGCCAATATTTTAAAGGGTCTGTAATAATTATTACTACAATTTTAACCTTTATATTTTTCCTATTTGTTTATTTCGCATAGTTAATAAGTATATTAATAACTATACGTGTTTATAAAATGAAATAACGATATGTTAATAAAATACAGTGAAATTTCTATACAACGTATAGTGTCATGGGTACAACAAAAAAATGAATTATAGATAAATTTGTTAAACAGAATCACATACATTTTGTGCATTGCCTATACACTATTATATAACTAGGTGGTTCTTTAATTATAAACCACTCATTGTTTCATATAGGTACAACTAACATTTTTTTTATAAGTGGAAAAGTGGCTGGTCCCGAATTGGTTCCCGAGTCCCTGCCCTACATACCGAATTGGTTCCTGTTAAAAAAAAAGTATTTTATTCAGACGATGGTTCCCGTTCCTGCCCAAGTCAAATAGTTTAAATTTACATTTTTAAACAATTTTTTGGAATATGAAATCATATTAAGAATTTACCAGTACCCATCCTAGTGTTTGTTTATTTTATGGAGACTGAACAGTATTTAAAAATTCAATTGTATTAAAGTATTATATTATAGTAAAAGAAGGAATTTAGCAAATAAGAAAAAAACAACCAAAACTTGGAAAAGTGTATGACTGTCAACTTACTATACTTACACGGTTGAAGAAAGTTTTCTTCAAATTTATAATGTTAGTTTAACCTAACCTATCAGCTTAGCAGCTTAAAAATTAAAATTACCTATTATATTTTTAGTATAACTAAGTGATGACTCCATGACTGGTTAACTTACATTTCAACAATCGCTAATACACATTTTTAACATCGTTTTTAACCATGAATACTTTTAAGTTGACAAAACAGTAAGCCTGTACAATTGGGAAAGAAAATGTGAGTGGTTAAAAATCTAGAACCAACTCAACCAGTAGTGGAATAGTTATAAATTTAAACGGCAACCAATTCGACTACTTCCGGGAAAATGGTAGCACTGTGATGTTTATGGACGTCTTGTGGGTCTTTGTATAATGAATATGTTAAATTTAAATTCAATGAGTTAATTTTTTAGGGGTTTTGTCATAATGTAACCACTCTCAAATTTCAAACACTACTTATGCCTATACCTTTAGATGTTTTAATAGATATTGTTATGTTATTGACTTGATTATTATTTATATATTTTTTTTGGCCTTCAAGTGTAGTTATACCAATTTATATGTAATGGCTATTGTATATTCATAATAATTGTCTAGATATTATAATACTGTTATAAAAAGCTCATTAAAAAAAAAAATTATATGTTTACTAATTGATGGTGTTATTTAGAGCTTTTAAGTTGTTTGTCTGCATACGAGAACTAACGTTTAAATAATAGGTACACACTTGTAAGTGTAATTAGTGAGCTGATAAATGATGAATTTATTACTATTTAATATTTATTTTATTTTTTGACGGCCTTTAGACGTTGTTTATCTGGATACGCGAGATAACGCATAGACAACTTTTGTCTAGTTAAGATTATTTCGTTGGTATTCCTATTAAATAAAATACGGACAATAATCTTGGAATTAAATATAGGCTACCTATTTGTATTTTTAAAATAATATTCTCGACTGCATAATAAGCATTATTGGCATTACGCCTATGTACTCTATAACGTAAAGATAATAAATTACCTAACGTTTTCGATACTGCAGTGGTTTCTATTGGGCAACTATTAAATTATGATTAAAACAGAAAAGATTATTTAATTTCAAAAACAATATACTTAATACTGTAGGTATAATATAATATAATATTAGTCCATCACATTGACAAAAGTAATTAAGAACCTAGTGAATAATGTAAATGCTAATATTAAGTTCAACATTTCATAATTCGGTTACCACTTTTTAATTTTACTCGTGTGTGAATTGCCTCCATTTTGTATACAGTGGGCGCGAATCGCCACTTATTACTGTATTTACTATTATAATATTATTCTATTATAGAATAACGGCAGCTAACCAGCCTGGGGCCTGTGCTCCACAAATAGTGAGTTTTTTATTAATTGTTATTTCTTTGATACATTGTTGAATCAGAAGGACGACATGTCGACATATTATTTTTAACTAGCTTACAGCTCAAAAAGCTGAATATTTTTATTCTGGTGGACCAGAATGGCTGTGTATTATCATTATCCATTACTATTCTATTAAATATTGCTGTGAATTTTTTTATATTGTATATATTCGTTACATTCATCTTATTATACTACTTCTCATATTACCACAAACCGCGTAACTATTTTATTCATGGTTTATAAGTACGCATACACACTTACGGTTACTCGTGCGTATTCCGGGGACGGCCACGGGGGTTGGATATTGTTATATACCATATCCACGAATATAAGAGTAAATTGGGACAACAATCGAGAATAGATACCTGATACTGAGGTACCAATAACACTATAACAATAAACTTGAATTCGTTGTATTATAAACAGAAATTGACTAAGCATTGATTTCAACTAAGCATATATACACATTTATTTTATTTTTTAGATACATTAAATATTATAATACCTAATAGGCATGGTCGTATAGTTTCAAGTTTTGTATATATACCTATCATATAAGTATATTATTGTTGACTGTTGAGTGTATAAAAATATAAATTTAACTTGCTCAGTATACTATGATTACTATGAACATAAAAATAGATAAAATGTATAAACATGAAAGAAAACTAACATATAAATTAGAAACAAACTTAAATATGTAATTATAAAGAAATTGAAGTAGTAAACCAATCTAGTCATATATTATTACAGTTTATTAACAACAAATTTTTAAGTTATTTATTGGTGAATATAATTAAAAAGTAAATAATTTTGAGTGGCTTAAGATTTTACATTCAAATTCATTTTTACAGGTAGGTTCACTATTCACAACATTCACGTCATATATAATATTCGTCACCTTGACGAACGATAGTATAGCTAATTTTATCATATATTAAATAGTTATGACACCGGTAATAAAATGGGTGGTTGTACTTGCTTTGGTGGCTGTCACAGTCATAACAGTCGTAACAGTGATAATCAATCATACAATGGAATTCAAAAGGATTCCAGAAGACGAAAAGATCACTGAAATAACATCAGCAGAACATTTGATGGGCCGCTACGATTCGGTGAGTGTTTGGGAAAATATACAGAATGGACTGATTAGATGGTAAAACAAACGGTGATTTTTATTAGTGATATTACGACCTCTATAATTTTTATCAACATTTGTTAATAAAAATCAAATGAGTCACTGAAAAAAAAATCTAATCAAAATAATTATATATTATAAAAGGTATCCCACCAGACGTTGCTTGTGCTAAAAATGTGGTTACTTTTATTGAAAATGGTGCAGTAGTTTTCTAGACTCAGTGTGGTATAAATATGTCTTAGTTTTGAAGGGGAGGGGAGTGACCTACCAATTACCCCACCACCCACTGATATCAGCCACTGCTAGGTCTACTGAGACTTTTTTGCCTTATGATCAAAGAAGCTTAAGAGAAAATCCATTAAAATTTTAGAGGGGTTAACATTTTAAACATCAATTTAAGTGGGGAGGGGGGGGCTTTGATCCCAAACAACTAAAAAACACTTTATTAATTTATGGTTTTAATCAATTTTCAACATTTCAAGTGCTACGGCTGAGTTCAGAATTTTATATAGATACATTAATTACTGTAGAATGTAAACGGATAATGAAATATAATAAATAACGGTACTTATTTGTTTACAATTCATGATGCGAGACTTACGCATGGAAGTTAGCTTGAATCGGTATAACAGTTACTTCTAAACATAATATAACAAAATATTTTACACTTGATCTCTCATAAACTGTGAAATACAAAAAAAAAATGGTTATCAGCCAAATAATTATTATAAGGACCATAAAAAAAACTGTAAGCATATTATTTGTAAAAATCATAAAGTTAATTTATTGTTTAGAGTGTATTGCTGGCAGCTAGACTGCGGAAAACTACACATCGCTTATCCCCGCACATTCGCCCGCAGCAGTACTTCATTAATCTTAACCCAAATATTGAACAAGGTTCATTTGTTGGATCTGTTAATATAACAATACTATTGGACACTGCTCAAAGTTACATTAAGCTACATTCAAAATTATTGAATATAATAGAAACTAAACTCAATTCTAGTTCTGTAACATCGTTAATAGATCCAGAACATGATTTTTTGGTTGTGGTACCTAATGAAGAACTAAGTGCTGGGGCATACAATTTACAAATATCATTTGAAGGAAGTTTATTTAACAGAACGGTTGGATTTTATCGAAGTGGTTATACAGATTCAAAGAGCCATGAACAACATTACATGGCTACTTCAAAGCTTGAACCGGCTTACGCTCGGTTAGCGTTTCCATGTTTTGATGAGCCTCAAATGAAATCAAAATTTAAAATTAGTTTAACTCGACCATCTGGTAATAACTACATAGCATTATCCAATATGAACCAAGAGGTGATTATGAAAAATGACTGAGTTTTAATTTTAAGATTGCAATGTTAAAAAATAAATTTTGTTTCAGTCAGAAGAGATCAATGTCCCTGCGAATGGATTAACTACAGTCCATTTTGCTAACACTGTCCCAATGTCTACATATCTGGCTTGTTTCATTGTATGCGATTTTCAATCACTTGAACCTGTTATAACAAATCAAGGGTTTCCGTTAACGGTTTATGCCAAGAGTGGTGAAACCGAAAATATGAAATATGCTCAACATGTAGGCGCGAAGGCAATGAATTATTTCGTCGATTATTTTGGCATTCAATACCCATTACCAAAATTAGGTAGGTATTTAAATTCCAACTACATTTATCATATCAAGATTATAAATAATGTCTGTGAAAGTACCCACTGAATCGCATTAAAATGGCACAGCCCGTTTAATCATAATAAATAAAATAATTTAATACTTTATTGAACTGTTTAGATCTGATACCAATCCCTGGTTTTATTAATGGAGCAATGGAAAATTGGGGCCTTGTGACATTTCGAGAATCGGGAGTTTTGTTTAATGAAAGTGTTAGTTCTATTATTGACCAACAGGCGATCGCTTTTACTGTTTCTCATGAATTGGCTCATATGTGGTTTGGAAATCTTGGTATCTATATCAATTTAAAACTTAATAACTTTATAAATACATAATTAGTTATTATTAAACCTATTTGTTAAGTACCAATATTCAATATCCTACAACTAAAATAAATAATTATACAACTTATTGAATTTTTTCAGTTACTATGAAATGGTGGAACGATTTATGGCTTAACGAAGGGTTTGCGACTTACATGAAATATAAAGCTGCACGAGTTATCCACCCGGATTGGGATATTGTATGTACCTGTAATATTTCAATATTTGTTTTTTTTAACAGCTTATTCTCTGTTATTTTCAATTATTTTATTAGGACACAACATTTATAATTAATAGTCTCCAATCGGCACAATATCAAGATAGTGAATTTGGTACTCGTGCTATAGTGCAAGATGTTTCTCGTCCAGATCAAATAGACAAAATGTTTGATATAATATTATATTCTAAAGTAAGTTTATTTAGTCCCAATCTATTACCTATATGTTTCTATAATAACAATAAGTTTTCTTAGGGTTCTTCTGTATTGCGAATGTTAGAAGGAATATTGGGTGAAGAAGTATTCAGAATTGGTGTGAGCGCATATTTAAAACGTTTTGCATTTAAAAATGCTGAAACTGATGATTTATGGACAGAATTACAAACAGCGAATCAAAATACAGTAGACGTTAAAAAGGTGAAAAAATGACCTTTTAGTTAGTATTATACATTTTTAATATTTTACATAATAGAAATCTTGTTATAAATATTTTAATAAAAATAGCTTATGGATACATGGATACGTCAAGCAGGGTTCCCAGTAGTATCCGCTATACGAAATGGAACAAAACTTACTTTGAAGCAGCAAAGATTTTTTTCCAGCCCAAATATTAACTCTACAGTTGTTCCGTCTCCATATAATTACAAATGGGAAATACCAATCACTTATATCACTTCTAACAATAATACTGTGCATAAGTTTTGGTTAACCAAAGACGAGGATTCAAGTAAATATTATGGTTTGTTGAATAGTTAAATTGATATTAATTATAATATTTATTTAAAAGTTACAATTGACATACCCGATGCTGAATGGATAAAACTAAATCATAGACAAATTGGATATTACATCATAAACTATTCAGAGAGTGATTGGGGTTTACTTGGTAATTTATTAGAAAAAAATGTTGATGTAAGTGTTCGAATAATATTTTTCAGTAATTTTATTAAATTAAAAATGTACGATTTAAAGGCATTAAGTGCTGCTGACCGTTCAAATCTCATTCATGATGCCTTTAGTTTGGCAAAAGCTAATCAGTTATCATTTGGAATTGCGTTAAACATGACAAAATATTTATCTTTGGAACGGCATTATGTTCCTTGGGATGTAGCTGCTATTAACTTAATTGCAATAAGCGAAAAACTATATCAACGCCCAGCACTGAAAAACCTTGAAGTAAGATTATTGAAAAAATAATAATTACAATGGTATTACAAAACATTCTTTGCACGGAATTTTTCTTCTTCTCTAAATTCATGTAATCAACGCATCATGTTTCGATACGTGAGATCAGAAATTCGGCTAACACAGTTAAGTAGTGATACAGTGACGTTAAGAATTTGCAAATAAGTTATTAAAATATTATAAGCCAAAAACCATTAAGTGGCCCCCTCATACTTCAAGCAGCGCATATTTGCAAATTCTTGTACGGTTAAAAATGCATAAAATTACTAAGTATTAGGTTGAGTACTATTTCCAATAAACAATTAAATTACAAAATTATCAGTATTAGAAACTGATGATTCGGTGATACCAAGGTTGATTTCATGGTTTTGGTTTTTATATATAAATTTATTTATTGTTGATTAAAGAATTATGTACAACGCTTATTGGGAAGTATAAAAGTAGATTTTTGGAATAATTCAATTGATAGAAACTTTTTACAACGTAAGCTTCGAGCAGTTATTCTAAAATTAGGATGTTTATATGGCTTACCAAGCATTCAAACAAAAGCATATGAATTATTTAAACGATTTTTGGATGAAAAGGTCCAACTACATCCAGATATTAGGTACACAGTTTATACCTATGGTTAGTAAAATTTTAAATGTATTTATTTATCTATTAAAATAATTGTTACTTAACTCATTATTCATTTAAAATATAAACAGGAATTTTGTTTATTTAGGAATGTCTCGTAGCAATGATAGTGAATGGATTCGAGTATGGGACTTATTCATAAATGAACAAGATCCTCAGGAAAAAGAAAATCTTATGGATGCATTGACTGCCTCAAAAGAAACAACATCATTATCTAAGTAAATTGTGCACTTGATTTTATTCATATGGAATAAATTAATATATTTTATTGTTTTCTAGACTATTGCAATATGCAAAAAATGAGAGCCATGTTCATTCCCAAGATTATTTAAGAATCTTAGCACGGATAAACCTTCATCCTTTTGGAAATCAATTCGCATGGGACTTTTTGAGGTACTCATAAATACATATCTACTATAATTACAATTTAAAACAAGGACAATTTAAAATGTTATCTAATGTAAACTTATGTCATGTTAGGAATAATTGGGAGTACTTGATTGATCGTTTCACTCCTAACAATTGGCAACTTAGAAGACTCATTCCTTTAATTTATTCTCATTTCAATACACATGAACGTATTGCAGAAGTAAATATTATTTGTTCTAAACCAACTTAAATGTTCAACATCTCGAAAGTTGTATTTTTCTTTAGAACATTAGGTTTCTGTAATTTAACATATTTATATATATTTGAATTTTTCTAGATGAACATATTTTTTGATAGATATCCAGAAGCTGTAGCTGAAAATGAGAGTATAAATTCTACACTAAAAGTTGTATTTAACAACATTAAATGGTTAGAAAATCATGAAGCTGTTATTAGTAATTGGTTGATAAATTCCATTTAATTTAAAAAAAATATCGAGCAGATTGTCAATATTTGAAATATCAATAGTTAAATTTATTTAATATTACAATGTTAATCTTTATATTGTTACTATTTGTTTCTTTCAGTGTAGTTATTGGAGTACGTGTTTGTAAAGTAAAATTGTAATATATTGAATACATTGAAATTTCGGTATTATGAAGTGTCAACAATAAAAATTAGAATATAGAGAATTTCGTTTTTTATTATGAACTTCTCATTATTTCATAGCTAATAAATTAGTAATAATAAAGGTGTGTTTGGTGTACATTAGGACCATTAAGTGTCGGGTGGGCTACTGTAACAGGTGTGTTAAATTTGAATTCAATTATTATAAAGTCATTGTATATGAAACATGATTCTGAGCGAAGACCGTCTGATACTAACCTTATTAAACAGTATTATATTTTGTTATTTTATCATTGCCATTAAAAGTATTTATTTTATTATGAAAGTGATGAGACATCAGTAATAAATTAGGTTGAATTATTTTTTATTGAAAAATAATATTTGAAAATGTCATTGTGTGAATAAAACATAATGATATATACTTATATTATATACCTACTTAAATATTATGAAGGTCTCGCGTTTAATCTGTATAAATTTAAAAAAAAAATTCTTTATTCTTGATTAAAATATCTAATTACATTCAAATTATCTGGTTACAGACGCTAGTACGCTACAGTACCATAGTAGTATGAACTACCTATCTACCTATTTATGAGAATCCTTGTTTTTAATTTTTAATTCTTAGCTATATAAAAATTGAATATTCTATAAGTTTTAAGAGGTGTAGATACATTTTGTAAAAGTTTAAAATTTAAATATTTATAAAAACAAACGTGCACTTGGATATTTAATCTTTCTCAAGTGATATTAAAATAACTTAAAAAGAATTCTGTATTCAATTTTCAAGTTTTTTTTGATCTAACGAAATTTTTTTTATCAACATTCAAGGAAAAAAGCGGATAAGTTGATGTCGCTCTACCGTACAGTAGGTTCAATAAGTGGGTCACTGTAATGAATGGTGTTAAATTTGAATTCAATGATAAAAAAACATTGTCTACGAAATACGATTATAAGTGAAGACGGTCAGCATGCAATATTACTTAGGAAATTTGATGATATTATTTTGATTAAAGTAATTTATTTGAAAAAAAAACATCAACATTTGAACTTTAAATGCTTATACAACAAAATCATGCATGTGTACTTTTTAACATGTTTCAACTGCCATTGTGACAGTATTACAGGATCCTTATATTAAACGTTCACGTTCGTTGACAAAACAGATAAAATTGGATTGACATTCATAGGAAAAAAAAACTAAAAAAATTAAAAATTAAAAATGTCTGTGAACATCTCAAAACATAGATATATTAAAATACCGATAAAAGATTTAATATTTTGAAAATTCTATTAAGTATAGGGATTGATGAAAAAACACATGGTGATCGGGAGCAGCTAGAGGGGAAGACAAGTCTACAAATTGGCGTTTGCCGAAGGACTACAATCACGGAAATGCTGCCTGCATCCTTGAAACCGGCCAGTATAGTGTTCGTTCTGTGAATATAAGTGGTTCAAAACAGAAAAATTGGCTGCAGATCGAGGTGTGCCGAGCGCGTCGGACCCGAAGATGGTGACCGGAGGAACTTTTGAAAGTGATGGTGAAACTGATCGAAGGGCAGGAAGCGTGACGGTGGCTGTTCAAAAAGGCGTGACCCGGCTTCAAGAACTTCGGCGATCATGTTATTATAGGTAGGAAGTGAAAACTCGCCTGTTAATCTTATGCTGAAATTATGAAACAATATTAAAAAGACGCAACACAACCATTTGTTGTCTACTGACTACTTTTCTCTGCAGTCCGATAAGTACGAAACATAAAAAATGTATTTTCATCAGATCACGTTTAGATACGTTAGTTTAAAAATTAGAGTGAATTGACCAATCGCAAACCTTGATGGTGAGAACATTATCTGTGTTTGTATGTGGACTTTTTAGGATATAGTTACATTTTTAGAAAGTATACAATATACCTAGAGTAAATTTAAAATGCTCATAACTCACTTAAACATTGAACTACCTATCGTAAAAAACCCAAATACAAATAAAGACAACTTGCTTGCCGTCAAGGTTTATGATAAAGTCAATTCACTCTAATTTTTAAGCTTATAGAAGTAAACGCGATCTGCTGAGCGTAAATTTGCCACGCAAATTCTGATTTTACTAACACGTTGAGCTTATTAAAGCACTAATATTTCAAAAAAAAAAAAATACAAATTTGTTGTAGGTATTATAAACATAAAAATATTTTTTCAAAAAATCGAGCAATTTGAAGTTTTTTGACGATAATTTACTAAGTTTGAGTTATTTTTTTACGTACTAGGTACCAAATTAGGCATGCAAAAACACATTTTGAAAAAAAATCCAAAAATTCGCCTGGGAGCTAAACTGCATTTATGCCAAATTTAAAGTTGTACTTTTGGATTTAAATCACGATATTATTGTATACTTACTCAGAAAAGTCAGATCTTTAATCGGTCACAAAAATTATTTGGGTTATCAATCATAATATTAATAGAAACATTTGGTATTTAATTTAAGATATTAATTTAATTTTTATATTGTATAATGTCGAATATGAGTACCTACCCATCAAATTCTATATTGTATACTATTACATATAAAAATATGTATATAAAGTGCTCAGTACATGTCTACAATAATGTATAGATACCAATATTACCAGAGGAAGGATAGAATATTATTAATACAATATTAATGAATAATGATAATATAATATGATTACAAATTATGACTCCACGCGTAAGTACTAGTACTTGTATATATATTACGCTCACATGCTTATTGTGGCAGAATTTATTATGTGTATCGAATAAACAAATGAATAACAAATATATAATATACATATCTGTGGCCGCAATAGGTGAAAGCAGAAGCGTGAAAAAAAATAATGTGTGGCTCGTGCGGTAAGGCAATTTCAATATTTTCATTTTCTCGACTAGAACGTGAATGAGTTGAGTTCTTAGTTGCGTTTTTAATTATGAATTAAAAGTATAAATTGTGTATTTCAAGACACGAAATAATACATATTGTAAAAAATGACCCATATCTAAGATAGAGTACTAAGTATACCGACGTCATAATTCTTATACCTTCTTTATAATTTATGTGTAGATAATAAAAAGAAAGACCTTTAAAAAATGACATCATACATTCCGTATTTATTATATAATACATACATAATTAATAACTTATGCTTCGTGTCCTCACAATCATAATATTATGTAGCTTCAATAAATGTATAATCGGAACATTCTAGATCGGCAACCTCCACATAATCGTACTTGAACTCCGTAGACCCAGTACAAAACTGAGGTCTGACAATTACTGAATTAGGTATACATGTATTCAGTGAATATTCTATATTATGATTATCTTATTGTTTCTGTATCTGTATCCGTTTGAAACTTAACATCATCAATTATACAATTATCCCCAGCTCTAGTTGTACTTGAAACCCGTCTTTTCATAACAGGTGAAAAGGATAATACTAAGTTCAAATCAACAAGTACCCAAATCAAATTGACTACTATGGTCATTATTCCAAATACGGCAATACCTCCACTGTTTTATTTAATTATTTTACCTTTTAAATTGTTTTAGAAATCCTTAACAATTTAAATAAGCCGATGATTCAAATTCTAAATGAGTGTTGAAGTAGGTATTTTATTGAAGGCTTTTCAAAGAACTTGCCAATTGAAATGACCATGTAATCATGTGCAGTCGCCGGTCAGCCTGTGGCATGTGGGTTGTCCAATGATAATTTGGTGTTTTAGACTTTAGACTCCTTTATATAAATCTGATCCGACCTATAATTATAGGTGTAAATAGGGGGGCTTATATTAGCCCCCTTATAATTAATATAGCCTCTCCCCCCCCCCCAAAAAAAAACTAAACCAATTTTTTAGGGTTTTTTTCATAATGTAAAAGCATTATAAGAGTATCTAGTATAAACCTAAGCTTCAGGTCTCCCCCACATTTCAAACACTATTTGCGCCTATGCCTATACCTTTAGAAGTTTAGATGTTCTAATCAATGTTGTTATGTTGATGAATTGATTATTATTTAATATTTATTTTATTAATTGATAATGTTTAGAGCTAAGATATTATTTTCTATGTACGAGAAATAACGTTTAAATAATAGGTACACACTTGTAAGTGTAATTAGTGAGCTGATAAATGATGAATTTATTACTATTTAATATTTATTTTATTTTTTGACGGCCTTTAGACGTTGTTTATCTGGATACGCGAGATAACGCATAGACAACTTTTGTCTAGTTAAGATTATTTCGTTGGTATTCCTATTAAATAAAATACGGACAATAATCTTGGAATTAAATATAGGCTACCTATTTGTATTTTTAAAATAATATTCTCGACTGCAGCATAATAAGCATTATTGGCATTACGCATATGCGTACTCGATAACGTAAAGATAATAAATTAACGTTTTCGATACTGCAGTGGTTTCGATTGGGCAACTATTAAATTATGATTAAAACAGAAAAGATTATTTAATTTCAAAAACAATATACTCAATACTATAGGTAATAGGTATAATATAATATAATATTAGACCATCACATTGATAAAAGTAATTAAAAACATAGTGAATAATGTAAATACTAATTAAGTTCAACATTTCATAATTCGGTTACCACTCTATTTAATTTTACTCATGTGTGAATCACCTGCATTTTGTATTTAGTGGGCGCGAATCGCCACTTATTACTGTATTTACTATTATAATATTATTCTATTATAGAATAACGGTAGCTGATCAGCCTGGGGCCGGTGCACCACAAATAGTGAGTTTTTATTAATTGTTATTTCTTTGATACATTGTTGAATCAGAAGGACGACATGTCGACATATTATTTTTATACTACAATATTTTGAACTAGCTTACAGCTCAAAAAGCTGAATATTTTTATTCTGTTGGACCAGAAGAGCTGTATATTATCATTATTCATTACTATTCTATTAAATATTGTTGTGGATTTTTCTATACTGTATAATGTGTTAGTTACATTCATCTTATTATACCGCATCTCATATTATCACAAACCGTGTTACCATTTTATTCACGGTTTATATAAGCACGCATACACCCTTAAGGATACATGTGCGTATTCCTTGGGGGGGGGGGGGGATATTGATACACCCCATATCTACGAACATAAAAGTAAATTGGGCCTCAATCGAGAATAGGTACCTAATACTGAGGTAATAACAATAAACTTGTATTAGTGGTATTATAAACATGAATTGCCCAAGTATTGATTTCAAATAAACATATAGATTTTATTTTTTAGATACATAAATATATAATACCTAATAGGCATAGACGTATAGTTTGGTATATTTATCATATATATTATTGTTGACTGTAGGGTGTATGAAATTGTAATTTTAACTTTCTCAGTTCAGATGAAGGCATAATGTATTAATGTATACACAGGATAGCAAATTAACACAAAAACAAACATAAATATGTCACTATACAGAAATTGTTTAGGTAGTTGTAAACCAATCTAGTCATATTATTGAAGTTTATTATCAACATAATTTTGCGACACTTATTGCTGGATATAATTAAAAAATAAACAATGTCGTATGGTTTAAGATTTTATTTTAAAATACATGTTAACAGGTAGAGTCACTGTTCACGTAATATATAATATTCGACATCTTGAAGAACAATAATATAGCTAATTTTATCAGAAAAACATGATACCGGTAATAAAATGGATGGTTGTACTTGTTTTGATAGTCGTCACAGTGACAACAGTCACACCAATTATGATTAATCATACAACAGACTTGGAAAGTATTCCAGAAGACGAAAAGCTCACAGAAATAACATCAGAAAAACCTTTAATATCTCTTAACGATTCGGTGAGTGTTTAAAATTATGTATAGAAATACTATATTATGGACTGAGAAGATGGGAAAACGAATGGTGATTTTTGTTAGTCATATTACTGCCATGGTACCTATTATTAACATTTGTTAATTAAGATCGCTAAAAAGGCGGTGACCGAAAAAGAAATCTGATCAAAGCACTTATATACAGGGTGATCCATTTAAGAGGGTAGACAAATAATCTCAAAAAGTATAAACTTTTTTTGAATTTTTTTTTAAAAAACTTTTAGATTTATTCTTTTCTAAAAGTGTATAATATTTTAATTTCTTTCACCCTTATATTTATTAGTGAAACCACTGTCAACTTTTGATTTTGAAATGGGAACATATGATAAAAAGGACAGAAATTAATAAAACCATTTTACTTATGAATATTAGCATTTAAACTGTAATTTTTCGTTATTTTGTTTGCGAGATACAGCTCCTAAAAGTTTGGTGGTTTAATAAGGAGGTGTTGATTATACTATTTATTCATTTGTACAAACCGGGAGCTATGAGCAGTGGCGCCGAACACGGTATAAAGGGGTGGGTCGTGACTCGTGGGTGGGTAGGTGGTGCCATACTACCGTTAGGTGTCACCTATGCAATACAAAAATAGTAATACTTAATAGTATATTAACATTGTGTCATTGTATATATTAAAATGGTATAGCACTATAGCTAATAAAGTAATTAATAGTGGTATAGCCATAAATTAAGATATCTTGTAAACAGTTAGTATAAGTCTGTATTCTATTAGTAATACAATAAGCAAATAAGCTATAATATAAATAAATAAATGGTCATGCAACTATGCAAGACTGTCTCGGTGACGTGTTGTGCATTAGCAGTTTTATCTTTCTATTATAATATATAATATTAAATTATAATATATAATATATAACTATTAATTATATAAGTGAAATAGCCTATACGTGATGAATTCGGTACAGTTAAACCCATGGTAACAATAAATAAGTGATAACTATTGTACTTTGAACAGAAATCCTCTCCTAATCCAATCCTAATCCTATCCTAGATTAGCCTATCGACTAATAAGACATACCGAATTAGAACGAATGATTAGTAGAAAACTGGTTTGTCAACTTATGACCTTTTTGTTTTATGTTCCCATTTAAAAATCAAAAGTTGGTAGTGGTTTCACCAGTAAATATAAGAGTGAACATAATTAAAATATTATACAGTTTTAGAAAAGCATAAATCGAAATGTTTATAAAAAAGTTTATAGGATCAGCCTGTACTATACAGCTTGTTCCAAACGGCGTTGCCTATGCTAAAGATTTGTTTTTTTATAAATTTGTTAAAAAAAATTCTATATGCAATATTTCTATTAATCATAATAGTAATATTTTGTATAGGTATAACTATGTTTCCCTCGGCCACTGCTAGACAGCTAAGACTTATTTTCCTATTTTTCTATGATCAAAGAAACTAAGGAGCAAAATCATTAAAATTTCGGAAGGGTTGACATTTTAAACACCAATGTGAGTGGGGGGAGGGGGGAGACTTTGATCCCATACGACTAAAAAACACTATATTAATTTATGATTTTATTCAATTTTCAACATTCAAGTGCTCCAGAGTTCAGAATTGCATGCGGGTATATGAATTATTGTAGAATGTATGCTGTCGGAAATTAATAAATAATGGTAATTTCTTATTTACACATCGTATGCGTGGTATACGTATAGTGGTAAGCTTGAAAGTTGAATTGGTAACATTTATTAGTAAATATAATATACCTAATAAATATTATATTTTGTATTTGAGCTTCTATAAACTGTGAGTTACAAAAAAAAAATGGTTATAAATCAAATAATTATTATAAGGATAAAAATTAAACTGCAGAAAACCTATTATTTGTCTTAAGTAATTTATTTTTTAGAGTATAATGGCCGCTAAACCGTGGGAATTCACACATCGTTTATCCCCATACATTCATCCGCAGCAGTACTTCATTAATCTATATCCACATATTAAACAAGGTTCATTTGTTGGATCTGTTAATATAACAATACTATTGGACACTGCTCAAAGTTACATTAAGCTACATTCAAAAGGATTGAATATCACAGAAACTAAACTCAATTCTAGTTCTATAACAGCGTTTTTATATCCAGAACATGACTTTTTGGTTGTGGTACCTAATAAAGAACTAAGTGCTGGGGAATACAATTTACAAGTATCATTTGAAGGTATTTTATACGACCGATTGGTTGGTTTTTATGGACGTGGTTATACAGATTCAAAGAGCCATGAACAACATTATATGGCTACTTCAAAGTTTGAACCGACTTACGCTCGGTTAGCGTTTCCATGTTTTGATGAGCCTCAAATGAAATCAAAATTTAAAATTAGTTTAACTCGACCATCTGGTAATAACTACATAGCATTATCAAATATGAACCAAGAGGTGATTATGAAAAATGACTGAGTTTTAATTTTAAGATTGCAATGTTAAAAAATAAATTTTGTTTCAGTCTGAAGAGATCAATGTCCCTGCGAATGGATTAACTACAGTCCATTTTGCTAACACTGTCCCAATGTCTACATATCTGGCTTGTTTCATTGTATGCGATTTTCAATCACTTGAACCTGTTATAACAAATCAAGGGTTTCCGTTAACGGTTTATGCCAAGAGTGGTGAAACCGAAAATATGAAATATGCTCAACATGTAGGCGTGAAGGCAATGAATTATTTCGTCGATTATTTTGGCATTCAATACCCATTACCGAAATTAGGTAGGTATTTAAATTCCAACTACATTTATCATATCAAGATTATAAATAATGTCTGTGTATTATAATATATACAATTATTTAATACTTAATTGAACTGTTTAGATCTGATACCTATCCCAGATTTTATTTCTGGAGCAATGGAAAATTGGGGTCTCGTGACATTTCGTGAAGAGAGAGTTTTGTTTAATGAAAGTGTTAATTCTATTAATGACCAAGAAGTAACCGCTTTTGTTGTATCTCATGAATTGGCTCATATGTGGTTTGGAAATCTTGGTATCTATATCAATTTAAAAATTAATAACTTTATAAATTCATAATTAGTTATCATTAAACTTATTTGTTAAGTGCCTATATTCAAAGTTCTACAATTAATATATATAATTATACAACTTATTGCATTTTTTCAGTTACTATGAAATGGTGGAACGACTTATGGCTAAACGAAGGGTTTGCGACTTACATGAAATATAAAGCTTCGCAAGTTGTCCACCCCGATTGGGATATTGTATGTACCTGTAATATTTGTTATTTTGTAAGCCATTATTCTTTGTTATTTTATATTATTTTATAAGGACACAATATCTCTAATTGATTGTCTTCAATTGTCGCAATATTATGATAGTAATCAAAATAGCTCTCATGCTATAGTGCAAGATGTTTCTCATCCAGATCAAATACCTGAAATGTTTGATGTTATATCATATCGTAAAGTAAGTTTATTTAGTCCCAATCTATTATATTTTTCTACAATAACAGTTTGATTCTTAGGGTTCTTCTGTATTACGAATGTTAGAAGGAGTATTGGGTGAAGAAGTATTCAGAATTGGTGTGAGCGCATATTTAAAACGTTTTGCATTTAAAAATGCTGAAACTGATGATTTATGGACAGAATTACAAACAGCGAATCAAAATACAGTAGACGTTAAAAAGGTGAAAAAATGACCTTTTAGTTAGTATTATACATTTTTAATATTTTACATAATAGAAATCTTGTTATAAATATTTTAATAAAAATAGCTTATGGATACATGGATACGTCAAGCAGGGTTCCCAGTAGTATCCGCTATACGAAATGGAACAAAACTTACTTTAAAGCAGCAAAGATTTTTTTCCAGCTCAAATAATAACTCTACAGTTGTTTCATCTCCATATAATTACAAATGGGAAATACCAATCACTTATACCACTTCAAACAATAATACTGTGCATAAGTTTTGGTTAACCAAAGACGAGGATTCAAGTAAATATTATGGTTTGTTGAATAGTTAAATTGATATTAATTATAATATTTATTTAAAAGTTACAATTGACATACCCGATGCTGAATGGATAAAACTAAATCATAGACAAATTGGATATTACATCATAAACTATTCAGAAAGTGATTGGGGTTTACTTGGTAATTTATTAGAAAAAAATGTTGATGTAAGTGTTTGAATAATATTTTTCAATCATATTATTAAATTAAAAATGTACGATTTAAAGGCATTAAGTGCTGCTGACCGTTCAAATCTCATTTATGATGCTTTTAGTTTGGCAAAAGCTAATCAGTTATCATTTGGCATTGCGTTAAACATGACAAAATATTTATCTTTGGAACATCATTTTGTTCCTTGGAAAGTGGCTGCTGCTAACTTAAATATATTAAACGAACATTTATACCAACGCCCAGCACAAAAAAACCTTGAAGTAAGATTATTGAAAAAGTAGTAATTAATATGATATTCTAAAACATTATTTGTAGTGGATTTTTTGCTACACTAAATTCATGAAATCAGCACATCATATTTGAATACGTGAGATCAGAAACTCGTCTAACACAGAAAAGTTATCAGTCAAAGTTAAAATTGCTGATACCATGAATTAAGTAGACATTTTTGTCATATTAATGGTTTTAGATTTTTGTTTTATGTTTAGAAGCAGGGCTTAAAACCGTTCCCAATAAATTCGGTAATCGGCTTCTTTAAAAAGCTTAAAATAATGGCTATCTTAAAAAATCAAATTTGTGAAGGCCAAAAATTTGTTTCTCCAAGTTTGATGAATGCTTGCCAGATATATACTTGGTACATCCCACTATATTACTCCTTCAATTACTTCTGTTGTTACTTAATATCATAAGTAAAAAATATTTGAAGAACAGAGTACTTACTTCATTTTACATTTCTATGTATAATAGACTTTATAGAGTTATTATTAAAATAACTCTATTTAAACAATTTAAACATTAACCATAAAGTTATGACCAATGACCAAAGTGTAAATTGTGACAGTGTGACAAGATAGTCAAGATATGATAGATAACTACGTAAATCTCCGGCAATATTCTTCATTCAAATATCGTAAATACCCCGGTAAATACTAAGTACTTAGTAGAATTTATAAGCCCCCGTTCCACCACCTATTTCAGTATTTCGTAATAGAAATCAGCGGGTTACAACTACAACGACGTTTATGAGGGTATTTATAATATTATATAGATTTATACGATATTCACAACAGACAGGGATACTCGACGACAATTAATTGAGGGAAATAATTTAAAAATAGCTGGAAAATTATATTTAACTATATTATATAATCATGACAAAATATTTATTAATTATTATTTTTAAATATATTTTCAATTTTGTGTTGTATATTATTCAATCATTAAATACCACGTAAAAACCATTAATTATTTTTGTCGGGAATAGGTTTGGTTACAAAACAGTGTTTGAAAATACGAAGTAACCGCTGTCCGCTTTGGTGTTAATCTTTAGATATTTACCTTGTTTACCGATAACCAATAATGTTTTCAGCATTCCAAAACTAAAAGTGGTTATCGGTTTTTGGTTCTAAAATGATCGGTTTTTTACCAGTTTTCGTGACAAATCGGTTACCGGTTTTAAGCCCGGTTAAAAAGCTTATAACATTTGATTTCCAAATCAAAAAGATTACAAATTTAATAATCAAGGTTCCTTTAAAGTTTTTTTGCAGTTCTAAAAATTGATTGAAAATGTATTGTAAAAATGTTTGTTTATATAAGCTCATAAAGTTGAAATTTTTACAAATTCATCAAAAACTCCAATTTTTTCAATGTGTGTAAAGTTGGCCCCCGACTTTTTTTGATCAATTCGAAAAGTATGTCAATATTTTACAAATTGATTTCCAGAATTTGCATATAAGTCATTGAAATATTATAATCTTAAAACCATTACGTGGCCCCTCGCACTTCGCTCATCATACATTACATGGTTTAAAATGCATAAAATTACTAAGTATACCTATTAAGTTGAGAACCATTTTTAATACACAATCAAATTATTAAAACATTTTTTCTTATTCAAGCTATTTATATTTTATTCCTTAAATGATATCTAGACCACGAGCAACATATCACCAATACAATTCTACGGTACTGACTTATAAGTTGACATGTTTTATAAGAATATATGTACATTTAATTTATTGATCCACTGTTCGTCTATTCCTCATAAATTGATTGTGCAATTGTTGTACCTGATTTGATTTATGTAAGAGTAGGAACGTGATTATAACACTTTAATTTCAATCTCCTGATATTTATAGTAATTTTTAATTTTATAAATTGTTTTTCCGATTTCCCACACTGATATCAGTATTAAACTCTTCGGAAATTGATCTCATAATGTATTTAGTGATAACATGGCTGATTTCATAAATTTTGACTTCACATATAAAAGTGTATTTATTGATTGCTAAAGAAATATGTACAACATTTATTGGGGAATATAAAAGAAGATTTTTGGAATGATTCAAATGATAGAAGCTTCTTACAACGTAAGCTTCGAGCAACTATTTTTCAATTAGGATGTTTATATGGTTTACCAAGCATTCAAACAAAAGCATATGAATTATTCAAACAATTTTTGGATGAAAAGGTCCAACTACATCCAGATATTAGGTACACAGTTTATACCTATGGTTAGTAAATTTTAAATGTATTTATTTATCTATTAAAAAAATTAGTACTAAATTCATTATTTATTTATTTAAAATATAAACAGGAATTTTGTTTAATTAGGAATGTCGCGTAGCAATGAGAGTGACTGGAATAGATTGTGGGACTTATTTATAAATGAACAAGATCCTCAGAAAAAAGAAATACTTAAGGGTGCATTGACATCGTCAAAAGAAACATCATTATTAACTAGGTATATTGTGCACTTGATTTTATTCATATCATGAAATAAAATATATTTTATATTTTTCTAGATTATTGCAATATGCAAAAAACGAGAGCCATGTTAATTCCCAAGATTATTTAGAAATCATATTACAGATAAACCATAATCCTATTGGAAATCAATTAGCATGGGACTTTTTGAGGTACTCATAAATATCTATTATAATTACAATTGAAAACAAGATGTACAGGACTTTTTAAAATGTTATCTTATTTTAACTTATGTTATATTAGGAATAATTGGGAGTACTTGATTGATCGTTTCCCTCCAAATGGTTGGCAACTTAGAAGTCTCACTTCTTCAGTTTATTCTCGTTTCAATACACATGAACGTATTGCAGAAGTAAATAATATTTGTTCTAAACCAATTAAAATGTCGATTGATAACAACATCTCGAATATAATACTTTTCTTCAAAATATCAATAGGTTTAACATACTTAATATTTATACACATTTGTATTTTTCTAGATGAACATATTTTTTGATAGATATCCAAAAGCTGTCCCTGCAAATGAGAGCAAAAATTCTATTCTAGAAGTTGTATTTGAAAACATTAAATGGTTAGAAAATTACGAACCTGTTATTAGTAATTGGTTGAGAAATTCCATCTAATATTCTAATAAAACTTGTTCGAGTAAATTGTCAACATTTGAAATATTCTTAGTTTCATCTTTCAAATATTTAATATTAATAATAATGTTAATCTTTATCTTGTTACTATTTGTTTATTCAATGTAGTTATTAATATTGCGTGTTCTAAAATAAAAATTGTAATATATTAAAATACAGTAAAATACAGTGAAATTTCGGTATTATAAAGAGTCAACATGGTAAACAATTTTTAACTCAAAAAAATTTGCAAATTTTGCAAATTTTTATTTATTTTGTCAACATTTGAAATTCAGAAGAACATAAATAAATATTGTGTGTTTACGCTCAAATTTTTTTTCTCCAGTAACAACAACTTATGAGGAACCTTTTATTACATTTTCGTTTTTTGACAGAGCAGAAATTTACAGAGTCAAAATATTTGGAAAATGTTATGGTGTAAAGAAAATGATATTATATATATATATTCAATGAAAGCTTCATGTATGTACAATGTACATAGTCATTTGTTTCAGAGTTACATCAAAAATCAAAATCAATTTTGTCAAAAACCGATTTTTTTTTAAATTTCCGTTTTTCTTAATTTTTGGTTTTGCTATTTCCGGCGCTTTTGAAAATTTTGACCTCCTCGATGTACTATCTAGTAGGAAATTTCCATCAGAAAAGATACTGAAGTGGAAAATCAAAGCATTATTTCGACTACGTATCGTGTACACAGTAGAGGTGTGGGTGGGCTGATAATTTACAGCCCGGTCCGGCCCGGTAAAATTTTTAGAAAGCCCGTGTCTATAATTTATATTCGATAGTATAATATGTTTTTTTTTTTGTTTATAATTTTGGTCCTACTAAAATTTCTAATTTTTTATAGAAGCTTGGCCCGGCTCGGATTTGATTTAAGAAAAGTCCAGCCTGGCCAGTAACTTTTGTCTTAATAGAGGTCTGGCCCGTCTTACATTGTCTTTGGAATTCGGCCAAAGCCTGCCCGTACTGATCTGGGTAAGTCCGGCCCTTGCAGGTCTACAGTACGCAGACACACATAAAAAATTTAAAAAAAAAACACACGTCATTGTAAAATCAATATATTCATCGCTCCTCTTAGAATCTGGTATTGTCCGAGTTGCGGTCGCAATAGACGAATTGCGGTTTTAATAATATTGAAGCTAAAATTAACGTCTTAATTGCGGTCAGTATCCAGTTATCGATTATCCGATGCTCTTATCCAATTTTTACGTCAATAATTTCACGATCTAACGGCGAAGCAGTATTTAGTACCTATATCAGTATCCTTTTTTAGCAAAATTTTGTAATTTATTATTTTCACGTATTATTACACCAATTATTATGTTACGAGGCGCACGCTTTATCCACAATGTTATCGTACATCAACGTAAGTCAACGTTATATCGTTTAGTCTATTGCAAGACGTTTTTGTATCAACACGTTAAAATGCCACAACTATCTGTAATGTATAGTGAAAAGGGGAAAATTTTGCTTGTATTAAATAATTTTAAATTTAGAGAGTACCTACCGTCTTCTTAAGACAGGAGAAATGTCTTGGAGTTGCACTAATAAAAATTGTGAAATGTGTATCATACAAATATGAGTAACTAACACAACTAACTAACTATAAATTTGTATTTCGACGTAACGTATTTTGATCGTTTAATTTTTGTATTTAGCATAATAATATGTAACTTTGTCAATATTTAAAACATAAAAATTATTAATCATATTTTTTTACCGCAACTAGAATTTTTACTTATTTTGATATTTTACCTGTTTTGATCCCGACCACAACTCGGATTTTTTTTTTACCTGTTATAATCTCGACCGCAACTCGGTGTCAACCTAGAATCTAAAAGCGGACAAGAGGGTACTGGTATGCTGTACAATGGTTGTCGATAAAGCTGAAATTTTTTACTTCATTGTTTAAAAACTTTCATGAAATTATCATAAACATTTTTCTAAACTGAAAATTAAAAAAAAAATGTTATGACTTTATGAGGTACCTATATTTAACAATATATTTATTTTGAATTAATTTTTTTTTTTTAAATTAGAAACTATTTGTTCATTAAATTTAAAACACTTACCGACAATATATTATTACAACAATGTAGTCTGCTTATTAATTATTATCAATATCGTTTTAAGTACCATAGTTTATGCTATTATTACTATAAATACGTAACGTTAAGATTTTTTCATTTTTAATATAGTAAATGTAGAATCTGTAAATTAATTTTTTTACAAAAAGCACAAATGATGTTTGGATTTATAGAAATATTAGAATACAAAATTATAAAATTAATAATATTTCGAACATGGGTCTTGTGGGAAGTGACCTTCCGCTGATGAAACTTCTTAACATGTAAAAGTGAGGGTTATTCAATGGGTAGATCACGACACCACGTTCGTTGTAGTCGCCTTCTGGGGCCACCAGAAATAGTGGGAACAGATAGTTCTGTGATCAGGGGGGTGCGGTGGTCGAGGAGATTAGAATGCATGCGCGTGTAGCACCAACGTTTTTAACTGTTTGGATAGATACATCTGTGTGGAGTGTATCATTTGAGACGAAGTGTGAGGCTTTGGTTATTCGACGGAGGCATTTGGATTTCAATTTTGAAGATTTTGCTAATATTGGTGGGTTTGGCAGCTCTCCATAGCTGCATAATGCCATAGGTCCATATTGGATCGAGGAGTAGTTTGTACAGGAAAAGTTAATTTTTGAGATTTATGTGCTTAGAACGCACTTTTAATGTTATTGTTCAATACGCCGAAATTGGAACCGTGGCTACGGCCTACGTATATCTCTATCGGTATTCATGTAAGTACATAGCTCTTGAACAAAAAGAAAAGATTTAAAAATTTAAAAAAGTTGAAAATTTTTGCATATTATGAACATTTTCAAGCTAACAGCTCTAGTTGTCGAGAAAATCGTTGTAATAGATATGTTATATTTGAATTCAATGATAAATCATTTCATACGAAAAACGATTCTAAGCGGAGTCGTTGGGTCATTGTAGCATACTAGCATAGATACTGGTATAAACAATCAAATTTAATAGGTAGTTATAAAAAATTATATTCAATGGGTAGAACTTCTTAGGAAACTTCAATTAAAATTCATAAGGTTAGCCATGAAAAGAAGAATTTTTATGAATTTCTAACTGGAAAAAAATTTGAAAAAATTCTTACAGCTATAAATAGTACAATAATAGTCAAAATAGTTTTAAAATGTTATGTACGGAGCCCCCCCCCATTACGAAATGAGTCAGCAACACATTGAACATGTAACATGTTTAGTGGGTAGTAGCTGTACGGACTTAAAAATATTATCAATTATCATAGTTCGTGTACGCGGCTTATTCTTCAAGCTCTCTCCGGCCCCCGCTAAACCGTCGATAACTTTGCATGTTACGAATGACTTACGATTGAAACTGTCGGGCGGTAGTTTCACTGAGTCGGGGACCGTCCGACCGTCGTCCAAATCCAAATAACAAAATAAAATTTCTAACGAATTAACTATCCTCAGGTTAAGCATTTTTATTGGCCTTCAACAAAGGAAACGATACATTTTTCAATTCACATTTAAATAGGTATTTACAGTACTTCTATACATTTTTATTTTTAATTCATTATTATTCACAAGTAGATGTTTTGTCTTAAGTATCTTATTTAAGATAAATCGTGGTGGCGACGCAGTTTCGAAGTCTCCTCTGACGTGCCGCCCCTATGACATCATAGAACCGTTCATAACTTTTAAGAAATATTTATGAACCATGATATAAATAAATAAATATATAAATGATAATAAATATAAAATATATACATGCAGATTGCAGATGTGTGGATCAACACGATCGGCGTTACCCACGTTCACCGCAGAAACTACGGAAACTATTCAAAAAAATCTGTATCAGTGATAATACATAATAATGTAATCACTAATCATTGTAAAGAGATAACACTGCAATTTTCAATTTTTTTCATTTTCCAGTTTGCACTTTTGCAGTATTTCGTAGCGCACACTCAGATTCACAGTCGCTTACCATTTTTCCATTTCTTAATTGCATTACTTCCGTAGCTCCGTATTAAATTGTATTTTCTTTAGGACTTAGGTATTCCGATAAACTCCAGTACCTATTTATCTTTGGTGATTAACTCGCTAAAATATTGAACGTTTGGTCGTGATCGACATAAACCGTCAACACGTTATAAGTAGAATACCGCGATATACTTGTATCAGTATTTTGTTTTTCAGTCGATCGTTATACCTGATATTGTTAATTGTTATTTAAAAACGACAAGACGTTTGCATTTTAAGCGAAAGAATGTATTCTAAATTAATTTGGTTATAAAAAATGTGGTCATAGTATACTCTATGCCATAGAGTCTGTGGTGTATTGTATGTGTTATCATTGTTGGTGATATGTAAATAAATGTTCTTAGCCATGCTTCGATAATCAGACCATAAAAACAATAACATTTATACCTATAAATATGCATCGATTTCAAAAAGATTTTAGTGCTATAATTTTGGATGAAATAGCACTTGAAGGTTTAGATGGAATTACTATTGAAGGTAAAATCACTTACTGAACAAGACTTTCATTTGATTGACTTTTCTAATGTCTATTCTGTTTCATAGCCTTGTGCAAGAGATTATCAAACAATTGTAATTGGCCCTTAAAGCCGATTGACGATTCAATTAAAAAGATAATTTGGTCGTTTGTCATTTGTCTGAAGAATGTAGACTTTTATAAACTTGTTAAACCTAGGGATCCCTTGATAATATTTAACCGATTTGAATATATTCATAGTGAATTTGGTTCAATTTATGAGCCGGTATGTATTTTAGTAGTTTTAATACTAGAACCTTAATGTCTTATTTAAATTGATCTTTAGGACAATATACCACAAGACATTTACCCAAATTATCCTGTTGAAGATGGTGCAATTATGGGATCATGTGAAGAATATTTTACAAGACTCAATCTGGCATCCTTCCCAAGGAAAATATCAGCCGAAGAAGCGGAAAAAAGGTTTGCACATTATTAAATAACATTCAACTAGGAAAAATTATCAACAGCTAGTAATAACTTTTCAGATGGGGCAGATGTTTAGTCATAGTCGCCAACCAGGAAGTACGCACAAAAGCTTTAATTCCTGAAGACAAACAGTATACCTTAAACATATCACTTCGTTATTATTTAGTATTAGAGAGAATTGGCCGTTCACGTTATTTAGGAGAAGCATCCTTCGGTACTCATTCTTTAAGAGCTATTTTTCCAGA